AATTGAAACTCAAAATTTCGACCCGAAAAAAAAACGACAGTGTTACCCCTTACGTTTTTTTTCAGTTTTTCGGGCGAAAAATCAAGTTTCTCCAATCTTCTCAAAACTCTGGATTATGATAGAGGGCCGCGAGACTTTGACCTGAGCGCAAAAATGGAGGCTCTAGACCCTTCCAGAGCTGAGATATCGAAACTCAAAATTTCGACCCGAAAAAAAAACGACAGTGTTACCCCTTACGTTTTTTTCAGTTTTCGGGCGAAAAATCAAGTTTCTCCAATCTTCTCAAAACTCTGGATTATGATAGAGGGCCGCGAGACTTTGACCTGAGCGCAAAAATGGAGGCTCTAGACCCTTCCAGAGCTGAGATATCGAAACTCAAAATTTCGACCCGAAAAAAAAACGACAGTGTTACCCCTTACGTTTTTTTCAGTTTTCGGGCGAAAAATCAAGTTTCTCCAATCTTCTCAAAACTCTGGATTATGATAGAGGGCCGCGAGACTTTGACCTGAGCGCAAAAATGGAGGCTCTAGACCCTTCCAGAGCTGAGATATCGAAACTCAAAATTTCGACCCGAAAAAAAAACGACAGTGTTACCCCTTACGTTTTTTTTCAGTTTTCGGGCGAAAAATCAAGTTTCTCCAATCTTCTCAAAACTCTGGATTATGATAGAGGGCCGCGAGACTTTGACCTGAGCGCAAAAATGGAGGCTCTAGACCCTTCCAGAGCTGAGATATCGGAACTCAAAATTTCGACCCGAAAAAAAAAAACGACAGTGTTACCCCTTTACGTTTTTTTCAGTTTTTCGGGCGAAAAATCAAGTTTCTCCAATCTTCTCAAAACTCTGGATTATGATAGAGGGCCGCGAGACTTTGACCTGAGCGCAAAAAATGGAGGCTCTAGACCCTTCCAGAGCTGAGATATCGAAACTCAAAATTTCGACCCGAAAAAAAAAACGACAGTGTTACCCCTTACGTTTTTTTCAGTTTTCGGGCGAAAAATCAAGTTTCTCCAATCTTCTCAAAACTCTGGATTATGATAGAGGGCCGCGAGACTTTGACCTGAGCAGAAAAATGGAGGCTCTAGACCCTTCCAGAGCTGAGATATCGAAACTCAAAATTTCGACCCGAAAAAAAAACGACAGTGTTACCCCTTACGTTTTTTTCAGTTTTCGGGCGAAAAATCAAGTTTCTCCAATCTTCTCAAAACTCTGGATTATGATAGAGGGCCGCGAGACTTTGACCTGAGCGCAAAAATGGAGGCTCTAGACCCTTCCAGAGCTGAGATATCGAAACTCAAAATTTCGACCCGAAAAAAAAAACGACAGTGTTACCCCTTACGTTTTTTTCAGTTTTCGGGCGAAAAATCAAGTTTCTCCAATCTTCTCAAAACTCTGGATTATGATAGAGGGCCGCGAGACTTTGACCTGAGCGCAAAAATGGAGGCTCTAGACCCTTCCAGAGCTGAGATATCGAAACTCAAAATTTCGACCCGAAAAAAAAACGACAGTGTTACCCCTTACGTTTTTTTCAGTTTTCGGGCGAAAATCAAGTTTCTCCAATCTTCTCAAAACTCTGGATTATGATAGAGGGCCGCGAGACTTTGACCTGAGCGCAAAAATGGAGGCTCTAGACCCTTCCAGAGCTGAGATATCGAAACTCAAAATTTCGACCCGAAAAAAAAAACGACAGTGTTACCCCTTACGTTTTTTTCAGTTTTCGGGCGAAAAATCAAGTTTCTCCAATCTTCTCAAAACTCTGGATTATGATAGAGGGCCGCGAGACTTTGACCTGAGCGCAAAAACGGAGGCTCTAGACCCTTCCAGAGCTGAGATATCGAAACTCAAAATTTCGACCCGAAAAAAAAAAACGACAGTGTTACCCCTTACGTTTTTTTCAGTTTTCGGGCGAAAAATCAAGTTTCTCCAATCTTCTCAAAACTCTGGATTATGATAGAGGGCCGCGAGACTTTGACCTGAGCGCAAAAATGGAGGCTCTAGACCCTTCCAGAGCTGAGATATCGAAACTCAAAATTTCGACCCGAAAAAAAAACGACAGTGTTACCCCTTACGTTTTTTTCAGTTTTTCGGCGAAAAATCAAGTTTCTCCAATCTTTCTCAAAACTCTGGATTATGATAGAGGGCCGCGAGACTTTGACCTGAGCGCAAAAATGGAGGCTCTAGACCCTTCCAGAGCTGAGATATCGAAACTCAAAATTTCGACCCGAAAAAAAAACGACAGTGTTACCCCTTACGTTTTTTTCAGTTTTCGGGCGAAAAATCAAGTTTCTCCAATCTTCTCAAAACTCTGGATTATGATAGAGGCCGCGAGACTTTGACCTGAGCGCAAAAATGGAGGCTCTAGACCCTTCCAGAGCTGAGATATCGAAACTCAAAATTTCGACCCGAAAAAAAAAACGACAGTGTTACCCCTTACGTTTTTTTCAGTTTTCGGGCGAAAAATCAAGTTTCTCCAATCTTCTCAAAACTCTGGATTATGATAGAGGGCCGCGAGACTTTGACCTGAGCGCAAAAATGGAGGCTCTAGACCCTTCCAGAGCTGAGATATCGAAACTCAAAATTTCGACCCGAAAAAAAACGACAGTGTTACCCCTTACGTTTTTTTCAGTTTTCGGGCGAAAAATCAAGTTTCTCCAATCTTCTCAAAACTCTGGATTATGATAGAGGGCCGCGAGACTTTGACCTGAGCGCAAAAATGGAGGCTCTAGACCCTTCCAGAGCTGAGATATCGAAACTCAAAATTTCGTTAGACCTGAGTGCAAAAATGGAGGCTCTAGACCCTTCCAGAGATGAGATATTGAGATATTTATAATGGCATAAATGCTACGTTGGATGTCAATATCTCGGCTCTGGAAGGGTTTACAGCCTCCATTTTTGCACTCAGGTCTAAGTCACATGGCCCTCTATCAGAATCCAGTGTTTCAAGAAGATCAGAGAAACTCAAAATTTTGACCAAAAAAAAAAACGACAGTGTTACCCCTGTCGTTTTTTGCAAAAAAAATAAGTTTCTCTGATCTTCTTGACACTCTGGATTCTGATAGAGGGCCATGGGACTTAGACCTTAGTGCAAAAATGGAGTCTCTAGACCCTTCCAGAGCTGAGATATTGAGATATTTATAATGGCATAAATGCTAAGTTGGATCTCAATATCTCGGCTCTTGAAGGGTTTACAGCCTCCATTTTTGCACTCAGGTCTAAGTCCTATGGCCCTCTATCAGAATCCAGTGTTTCAAGAAGATCAGAGAAACTCAAAATTTTGACCCAAAAAAAAAAACGACAGTGTTACCCCAGTGTTACCCAATTTTTGCTCTGGAAGGGTCTAGAGCCTCCATTTTTGCACTCAAGTCTAAGTCCCATGGCCCTCTATCAGAATCCAGAGTTTCAAGAAGGTTGGAGAAACTTATTTTTTTCACACCAAAAAAAAAAAATGACAGGGTTTACAGACCTTAGTGCAAAAATGGAGGCTCTAGACCCTTCCAGAGCTGAGATATTGAGATCCGACGTAGCATTTATGCCGTTATAGAGCCTTAACAACACAAAACATCTTTTTTTTTTGCCCTGTCCTTGTTCCTCTTGCTTGTTTAACTCTCATATTGTTGCTTAGTGCTGCTCTCCTGCAATGTCAAAAATGCTTTGCTGACTGCACTCTTACTAAAGACCTTTGTGAAGAACATCCAAGTCATAACACCAAACTGCACCAATGCCTACCAAAAAGAAACGTATTTGATGTTTAGAGAGTGATAACACACCAAGGCTGAGATGATATTTTTTATTCACCATAATGTTCTTTCCTTAGAGGTCATTGGGATATCTAATAATCCAGAAGTGAAATGTATAAATTGCAAAAAAGTGTTTTCAGTTCTCCACCTTGTAAACGCTGCCTAATTAACATCATCAACAAAGTCATTAACATAAATCACCAGTCTATGTTTTTTACAGTACATCAAACACTGTTTTTATGAATATGAACGTTGGTGTGGATTTTAGCATGTGCACTCTTTAAGATCAAATCTGTGCGTACACACGTTTTATAAATGAGGTTTTAAATGCTTAAACTGAAGCTGATTTGAGTATGTTGGGAAATGATGGCCATTATAAAATATTGCCATAAAATGAAAAGCATGTTGTTCTCACAATTTTTTTAAATTAAAGTTTCTTTCCAAATCTGCTTTCATTTGGATATTTCACAAGTATTAGAAAACCCTAATCATACAGTAATATACAGACCATAAATAAAACATAAAAAAACATTTAAGAAAATATATTCACTGATATCAGTAATCTTTCATAAAAACACATCACATTTACATTCAAAATGACTTGAGTCATCAGTGTTCCCATATTGGGTCTTTCAAGTCTATAAGAGTGGCATACATACTCTTTCAACTTGCCTCAACTTGCTTTGAACACATTTACCCAAAACCAGAAGTCAATGCTAGGAGGGAAGCTGAAAACAAAATGAAAAAATACAGTTCATGTCATATTCGACAAATGAGAAACTAGTACAAGCCATGTTCAGATACACACACACACACCACTCTTCACTTTCAAGGCATCTTGCCGTCTAGTTCTCTTAAATAATCCTCAGTTTATACTTCTGCAAGGACGGAAAAGTCTTTCTTAGAAAAGGAAGATGATTCATAGAGTCCACGCAGATCCCAAAAAGAGCCATGACTATCGGATGTGGGGGATAAATGTTGGTCTTGATGTCATTCTCTCAGTGGCAGGATGTTGGTGTGTTGAAGGGGGTCGGTTGAGTGTGTTGGTGTTTAGTAATACTGAATCTCTGTTGTTCCACCGGTAGAGCATCTGCTCTCTGAGTCTATGAGACGCAGCGTCCTCATCTCTATTCATCCCTGCAAACTTCTGGTATCGCCGCTGAAACAACAGCCAAAACTGATCTTCCTGCAACAAACAAAAAGCAATTGTGTATAATTTTCATGGAATTTGATGGGTTTCAAAGTTGCAAGGTTTCACTTTGACTTTCTTTCTTCCATACAACACAAAAGGTTCATTTTTAAATTATATCTTAAAGGAGTAGTTGACTTTTCAAAAAAACTTTTGGTGATAATTTACTCCACCCTCATGTCATCCAAGATGTCCATGTCTTTCTTTCTTCAGTCGAAAAGAAATGAAGGTTTTTGATGAAAACATTTCAGCATTTTTCTCCATATAATGCACAGTACAAACTGCAAACTGTTCAAAGAGCTTTAAACGACACCAGACAATGAAAAAGGGTCTTATCAAGCGAAACGATCGCTCATTTAAAAAATGTTAAAAAAGTTTACGTTTTATAAGCTCAAATGGTCGCCTTGCTCTGTACTGCGATGCACGTTCGTGACTCTCCTGTTTGAACTCGTTCATCAAAATGAACGAATCTTTTTCCGAGTCCATTTGTTCGTTTCGTTCTTTCAATGACCCAAATGACTCGGAAAAAGATTTGTTCATTTTGATGAATGAGTTCGAACAGGAGAGTTACGAACGTGGGTCACAGAACAGAGCAAGGAGACCATTTGAGCTTATAAAACTTTTAACTTTTTAGAGTAAATTATCAGCAAAAGTGTTTTCAAAAGTGAACTACTCCTTTAAACTCTTTTCTTAAACACAATCAAAATAAATGAGGACTGGTTATCAAACTCCAGTCCAGAATAATAATTTAAAAAATGACTATAAGGTATCATATTGTGATCAAGTCGTGATGATTACCCTCAATCGAACTTTACTGATGGGCTTCAGATAACATGAACAATTTAAATGACACTGTAATTTAATGGGCAAGAGTGACCACTGAGTATATTTGTATATACTTTAAACATGCGGTTATATTTAGTTCCAACTTCATTCAAGGTCTTCAGGATCGCTTGAAAATATGCATGCAGGTGTGCTAAAGGAGGTTGGAAATAAACTTCAGGTAGGCCTCTGTAAGCTTGGAGAAGAGGTCTTCAACCCTGCTCCTGAAGACTATCTGCAAAGTTGTTTTTGTTTTGTTTTTTTCCCATCCTGCTTTAGCACACCTGCCTATGTACTTTCAAGAAGTTAAATAGGATCTATGTCTGCCTATAGAGTTGAAGTCTCACCAAAGTCTGCTGCAGGGATGCAGGGACGTCACGGCGCACCCTCTTGGGTTTGGCACAGTACGACTCCAAATGCTGGAGGTCACATCCCCGCACGCAACACTGCTCGACGATCCCTTTCCCACGAGAGCGAGGACCGCCGCTACGAGCTGCTCCAGGTTTGCCTAACCACCAACAGACACAAAGGAAAATTTTAAAGGTTTTAAAGCCAGTCATGTTTCTTAGATTTAGTTGTAACTGTTGTAACAATCAAGTGCTTGGGGTCAGTACTTTTCATTTGAAAGAAATGAATAATTTTCCTGACAGTATGACAGTAAAGACTTTTACTTTAAAATTTCTATATCGAATCAATTCTTATATATTTCATTGAACTCTCATTTACAATTAGGAGTGAAAAGTGAAAAGACGCTGACAAACAATACCAATTTTTGTGAAATTATTGAAATACGAGTCGTGTCATAATGTTCTTTTTGAGAAAAGGAGTGAATGAGAACGAGAAACGTATCAAGGTGGCCTTGGATATGGAACAGGGTGAAAGAGCCTCAGTTAGTAGAAATAAAAAATGTTGATATCAACAAACGCAAATCAAGAGTACATGTGGGTGCGGTAAATTGTATTGTCATTAATGGAGTGTTTTATATCAATAACTATAACTTCAGGCCACCCACAACAGAAGACAGTTACTGTTTGCTATTGGTTGTTGGGGTGATTTGCATCAACACCATAATGATAAGGGCTTGACTTGACACCACTGTCTGTATCTTCAGGGCAAGGCCACTTTTAATACACTGATATTCATTGGTATGAATATGATAGGGTGTTGTGAGTGAGATAAAAGATTTAGAGACATGCAAGTTACTTCTATATCACTGTGTCCGAACCAAACGGTTCAACCAGCAGCACGCACTTCTTTGAAAACATTAGTTTCTGCAGTATCCAAATACAGGACATCAGAAATATAAGATGAAGACTGTAGGTGACTCTGACCTCTGTAAAAGCCACGGTCTCCACACACAAACTCCAGATCGGCGACCAGTTCCCGTCCACAGCGTGCTTTGGCCGCTTCGCCAGCGTCTGGCAGAATCAGGACGCAGTACAGGGAGTAGAGGACGCACACACTTCTCCAGCTGGGCACCTGCTTCAACAGAAACAACAAACTCTAAGCCAGCTGCATCTTATCTGAGAGATGCACTCCTTTTTGTCAAAGCAATGAATACAAGTCGTGACGCATGACGTTCTGAATACATTTTGTTTTTCAAATCGTACTGAATTGAGAGCATGTACAAAGTCACACTGGCAGTGCCCTGAAAGTTATAACTGCCCATGAAGAACCTTTAATAGTCATGGAAATGGTCCTTTCCAGAACTGTTCACTGAAAGGTTCTTTGGGGAACCCAAAGTGGTTCTTCTATGGCATCGCTGTGAAGCCCCACCTTCTGGAACCTATATATTAAAAGCGTTGAAGAACCAATTTGGGTTCCCCAAAGAACCTTTCAGTCAACATTTTAATAATCTATCGAATGTTTTTCTACTATAAAGAACTTTTTGTCCAGTGATTCCATGGATGTTAAAGGTTATTCATGCAACCACTGATACCAATTTACTTTTAAGTGTACACAAAAAAACAACAACAACTGTTGACTCAGAAAATGACTTTGCAAAAGTATTAACCGACTTGACCTTTTGATACGATGACATGCATTACAGATCTATATTTTCCTACAACCCACACGACAAAGCAACGTCATAATAGCTCCCTAACATGCAAACCTGCATTGGAGGCAGTAATTGTTGGTCACCAAAAGGTAATTTGAGTCATCTATGCAAGCTAGTCATTTAGCACAAAAAAAGAGGAAAGTTGTTTTTTGACCAGCTTTTATGGATTCTTACCATCAGTGGAGTCTTTCTGAACACCTCGAAACAAAAAAAAAAGCAGCATGATGGGGTCTTTTCCCCCTAAATTCTACCTCCAGATAACATGCAACAGGTGAAATGGTCTTTAATTTGAAAGCCTGATCCTTGTGCAATGTGTTTCTAGGTAAGTGTGTGAAGAGTCTTACCTTCAGCATGAATCCTCTTAGAATCTGAAGGCGTCTGGTATGACAGGCTGGAAGTCCGTCTGATGGCATGTCTATTTTTTTATGTTTGGTCTCTACAGAGCTACTGACGTTCTTACTCCGGTGTGCTCTTATAGGAGGACCAGGAGGGGACGGGCCAATGGGACACACCCGCACACATCCTACCCTTCCTTCTACACAAAGATGACACATAATCGCAAAGCTTGTCTTTTGCTGGACGCATGAAACTACAAAAGAAATCTGTTAAAGATAAACAACAGAAAATAAAAAACGACTTTCCATCTGAACATTTATAGCTATTAAGTAATGTAAGAGGGATGTGGTGCATGGACTTATCTGACAGATATAGTCCCCTTTGAGATCCTTCATTATGTGCATATATAATTTTGATTTGTCACCATTATCTTTTAGAACGCCGGTTTAGAGATTCCCTGCAGTATGACATTGAAATCCATCTCAAGAGTGACGACAACAGAGAAATAAGTTATCACAAGTATATCTCAGAAAGAAGCCGGTTAAGTGATTTTCGAGTGTGTGGGCTTCAACTGAAATGATAAAACAAAGGAATGCATTCACAGTCAATCACAGAGTACACGCTTAAAGATAAAATAGAGACAAAACGTTATGTTACCAGTCAGATGTGTGGGTACATTAATAGCCAATTCTTAGTTTGACACAAAACCTTTTTTATTTCAACCAATGAACCGAATGACATTTTAATTTTAGGAGCATATTTATGTATTGCACAAAAACATATGACAATGCCATGTTTAAATTGATGAACTTAACCAAAGTTTGAGACATCTCTTCTGCTGCTCAAATTAAACTATGTACGAGGAATTTTGATACCGCTTGAACAGACATCTTTAGTAAAGTGTGATCCTCTAAATCTGACCCGTCAGCTTTGAGTTAAAGATGCTGAGGGCGGCTTCCTTCTGCCTCAGCCGAGCTCGTAGGTTGCTGATTCTCTCCTCCTGGGCCAACTGTTCAAAGTCAAAAGCAAGACAGCTCTCAGCTCTGGGGAGCAATGCGGCCTCTAAACGCTCAATGTCATCCTTGTGCGCCTCTCTTTCTCCAGCTGCTTCAGGCTGCTCGGAGACGCTAGCTGATGCGTGGATGATCTGGGACTGCTGGAGGATATTGGGCTCCTGACTGGACTCCAGATCCTTAGGTTTGGGTGGGCTAATCGCTGACCTGGACTCGGAGGTTTCCTGTTAATTCAAATGCAAAACAACACCAATGACCTAATCCCTTTTAAAATAATGTTGTTGTTTTTTAAGATTTAAAGGCACTGTAAGGGATTTCAGTTATTTTGCCAGTCACCAAGGGATCAAGGTTAGGATGGTCTAGTTAGCCCCTGCTGGTAGATGCCATAACTACACCATTCTGAGTCTTTCTCCATTCGCAGTCATTCAAAAGTAACCACGTATTCTAGAGAACTTTTAAAAATCGTCTATTTTCTCTGTCTTTCTGGCTCAAAAACAAGAAATGCTACCAGGGGGGTGCCAACAAATAGCCAGGTAAAGTGATTGACAGGCAGGCATATTTTAGTCCTCACAAAATTTTCTGCATTGCATTCAAAACCATTTATAGCACCTTTAATCGTGTAAGATCATCATGCACATCTTCAAGTACACAGAGTAAAATAAAATACTGAAATTTGACCTTTTGACACTCTTTGCCCGTACAGCATTGCTCTGGCATTTCTTCAGAGACTTGAATGTGCAGGTTAATGTCAAGATCTGGAGCTGGAGCCTGACCATCCTGAGTCTGTGGATTGGGATTGGAAAGAGACATGCAACAGAAATCAGAAAGTAAATAAAAGACTTGACTTTAAAAAAAAATTCTGAACCATTATAGCTACGTAATGTAAAAGGGATGTTGAATTGATATTGATATTTTTCCTTTAGAGATCCTTTATAATTAGGGCTGTGCAAAAATTAATTGCGATTAATCGCATCCAAAATAAAAGTCTGTGTTTACATAATATATTTGTGTGTGCTGTATATAATTATTTTGTATATATAAATATAAACACATGCATGTATATATTTAAGAAAATGTGTTATTCATATATAAAATATTTATATTTATATAATATTATAGATTATGTATTTTTATATATATATAGAGTTTACACGCAAATAATTCTTAAATATATACATGCATGCATAGGTATTTATATATACAAAATAATTATATACAGCACACACAAATATATTGTGTAAACACAGACTTTTATTTTGGATGCGATTAATCGGAATTAATTTTTGCAGAGCCCTATTTATAAAGTAAAAGCATATTCTGCTTTGAATTATTTCATCATTTTATTTTATAACACTGCTTTCAAGTTTCCTTGCAGCATGAAATTGAAATCATCTTAAGAGTGATAACAACGGAGAAAGAGGTTATAACAAGTATATTTCGGCAAGAAGCTGGTTAAGTGATTATGGAGTGGAGTGTCATATTTTTAAACTTTTTTTCCTTTGAGTATCAATGAACAATTATTATTTTATTTTATGGATATCAATGAACTGGTTTAACCATTTACAGTTAAATCTAAATAGGTTTTATTTAAAAAATATTTTTTGAAATTTAAAGTTAATTTGTAACAATTAAAGAAATCGCATCTAACAATTTTATTCCCTGTTTATTTATAGAGTTTAATACAATATAAATTGTTTCAAAGCAGCTTCACATTATTAAAAGTGAAAATAACATAAAAAAAAAAATTAAATTTCAGCTGTAAAGCAGTTCTATGGAAGACAATCCGGCTTAATTTAGTTCGATGTTGATTTAAATCGGTTCAATAATTAAATAATGTTTGAGTTCATCAATTATAAAACAAGTTTAATTCAGCGGTAAAGCAACTCTAGGGAAGATAATAGTGTATCACTGACATAATGATGTTGTTACTCAGTCAATTCAGTTCAAATTTTGGTCTCATCCGATGTAAGTGCAGTCCAACATTACTGAATATGAATTGTGAAATGACCCACCTTGTTCTGTTGCGATCTGGGTGAAGGGTCCGGGAGCGGTTGACCCTGACATCTAGGTGGAGTTTTTATCTGCTGCTGTTGCCTGGGAGAAACCGGACACACACCTGAAGGTGTTGAGGGAGAGTTTTGCAGTCTCACTCGCCTGTAGTGTGACTTTCTCACTGACAGGAAGATCTGGCCGTTAAACACGATGATGGCATTTCGCTGAACCGAATCCCTGATGCTGGGAATTGAGGCCGCTTCAGTCTCCGGCCCTGAAAACAGTATTTTGGGCTTATGTGTTTTTAAAATTGTTCTTAGGACCTTAAAGGCAGTGATGCTGGAACTCACAACAGGCAGCAAAAACTGGCCTGGAGTTATTTTGGCGACCGGCAGCGTCCTCTGGCCCAGTGGAAGTGTTTCTCTGCTGTCCTTGCCCACAGCCACTTCTTTTTCCCGCAGCTCAACCGGACAGATCCACGTCACTGTCTGCGGCATCTGTTTCTCTGATTCACGCGGAGACAGAGCGACACGGATCTTCCTGGCCGTGGAGCTGGACAGGGACTGCACGGGGATGTTTTTGACACATGTTCCTTTGGGAATGTAAACAACAATGTTCTCCATGCAGGACATGCTGAATCACAGAAGAGTTTGAACCTGTGGGACTGGTTGAATAAAGCATTCATATTACTGCAGTCTGCTGAGCTTTTATATATATGCCTCTGAATTTTATTATTACTATACAACTAAATTGTCAATTTAGTAGTAAACTTAAAGACAATAGCACAAAAAATGCTCAAGATTTTAAAGAAAGTTTACCATTGTTACTAGCTTCATCCAACAGCCTAGCGACTTACGTTTTTGTTACTAACTACTACAATTAAAGGGGCTATATATAAGAATTTTTAATGTATTAATACCTGTGTGAAGAGCTTCTAATGAACCTTGGAAAACTAGACCTTCCCCGACTTGCTATATTTTCTATGAAAGAATGTTGAGTTGACTGATTATTATGTAAATGACTCGGTACGTTTTTGCAGGAAACTGTAAAGGATATGACATATATGCCCAGGGGTGGGGCAGCATATTTTCGGCCAAAATCCGGGAATGCCATTTTTGGCTGATAATTTTTGGTGGCTGAAGTTTCGGCGCATCCCTAACAGTAGGCTACATTGCTGCAAAGGTATTTCCAACTTCTATTTACCCCTAAAGTCGGGAACACACTTAACGACTAGCTAAAACATTCTAAGACTGAACTGAACACACTTACAGACAGTTTCCAACGACTGCAGTAGATTTTAAACACCGAGTGTGAACACCAAATGAACGCAACTGTCTCTGACTTAGCTTAAGCAAGACTGTACATTTGGACAACTTCCCATAGTTCATTTTGTTAAAAACAAACATAAAATTAGACAAACAAAAAGCTTTACAGAATATATATTCTCTGTTGCCATGTGAGTGAGGAACGGAAAAGAATTTAGCAGCAGTATGTATAATAAATCGGGGAATAGGACCACGTTCAGTCTTCTTGTGTGTTACATAGAATAGGTTGGAGTAAGTTGGCTGCAGTTCGCCTAACCGCCACGGGTGTCGCCATTAATAATTGTTTCTAAATTCTACATATAGGTCCTTTTAACAATAAATAAAATGAGAGACTGTAAAACACAATACTTTTTAAAATAATGCTGTTTAAACTTGTTAAATATTTCTAGCGTTAACTGAAGGTAATTATCATTAACACTGTGAATTTTGTGGATTTGTCATTAGGAAGGACCATAGACAGTCAAACGTATAAACAGGAAACGTTTAACGTTACCAAATCAAGCTAAAAACAAAAGTTGTCATATACCTAAAATTGGTCACTTCAATCGCGGCACAAACGGTACAGTCATGTCTCCACAGCAAAGCTCATAAATAGAATTCATAAACCTGTTATCGAACATCTGCAAGCACCCCTCTCTCGCTCTGCATTCAGCGGGGACTTCCAGAGAAAACTTCCGGAGTTTGGTCTTCAATGTCAAAATAAAAGTCATTGTTAGATAATTCGATATAAAAACTGACAAAAAGTAAAACAGCTGGTAAAGTTTAAAATGAATTGTTCATTTAAAATATACATATTGTCATCTACCCCTTTACTCACTGTTTTAATCATTGTAAAAAAAACTATATTAGTGTTACGTTGTCTGGTGCACTAAATGCTCGAGCTCGAGTGGATTCTGATTGACTGTAAGTGTTCATCATTCATCAGCAGGAAAATATAATACAAATAGAAATGTAAAACAGACAATAATACATTTTTAAAACGCAAAAATTGTAGAATAGTTTTAATCCATTTCTTATTCTATCTAGTATTTTTTTAACAGAAATATTGCAACAAAAATAGTTTTCATGTTTACTTTAAATTGCAGTTGCAATTAGCTTTTACTTAAAATCTGATGGATGGGACATTAAATAACTTGAAATTCTAAACCAATCTCTGGCAGAGTGTGTGCCCTGTACTAAGAAAGAACTGGAATGGCATAATGCAGTGAGGTACACAAATACATTTATGGTTAATGCAAATGTTTAGTTAATTTGTTTGCAAGAATAAAAGAGGGATTAGGATTAAAGGGCTCCACATGATCTGATTTGATCAAAAATATTTGATTTTGCGTTTGAACGCCTTTTCCGATAAACAACATATTTTGAACATATCAGAGCCCTGTTGAAAGTACTATTGACACTGACAGTATTTTTGATATTTCCATTCAAGTCTTTCCCTGTGTATGTTTCTAAAGAACAATATTTCTTTTCCAACCATATTTGTCTTTTGTTTGTCCTTTAAGGGTTTGCTGATCTACTTCACTGACATAATACACCATACTGTAGCCTATACAGTGTGGATGACTTTTTACAACCAAGAGATCTTTGATAAATGCAAGTCTATATTTCTTTCCTTTTGAACAGTGGAATATATGTTTTCAGGAATGGGTGAGATGCTCTTTAAAGAAAACACATTGCTCTTGCACCATTGCCTGTTATTTCCAGGAAGTATTGTAAGATTTTCCTCCAATGGTTCGATTTTATTTTATTTATGCTGCTGATATATGTTCTTTAATTTCATTTCCTTTTTTTTTCAATTGGACGTACACATCACACTCTAACACAGAAAACAGAGAGAGGGCCACGTGTGGAACCAATGAGAACATAGACACGGATTTTAACAACAGCAAACAAACAAACAAATACACATACATACAGACTTACGTCATACATACAAACATAGTTATATAAAGCTAAACGATGAAGTATCATAACTGGAGTATAGCAACTGTAGTATTAATTGTCGTAGTTTTAGCAGAAATGTAACCACTAGAATAATTGGAACAATAATGTTATTAATTAAAAGGCAAAAGGAGTTATCCCCAAATAAACTTTTTTTTTCCTTCTTCCCATTTGTACACTTTCTATAGGCTCACACAGTCTTTTTAAAATCTTTAGTCAGAGTCCAATCCTACACACACGTAGATCCGCCTCGTCATTTTGGGTACTTGTTCAAGTGCGACATACTGTATGAGAACATAATCGGTGGCTTTCATGCGGAGCGGGATTGTCTTTGGGTCACACAAGATACTGTAAAGAACCACTGAAACAATTTGAAGCAGTGAATCTGTGATAGTGATAGGAACAAAGATTAGGTACAGAAACATCCTAACTGTTTCTCTGCCACAACCAGTCCATCTGGCTGGTAGTCTCGACTCGCTGACCCCTGACCTTCCTTCAGAGGCATGTCTCCAAGCTGTGCAGAGGGCTCGCGGGGCAGGGGGAAACGTGCGGCGCCCCGTTGTCGCTCGAGCCCAGGTAGACACGGCTCTCGGTGGCGTTGTTGTTGTTGTAGTTGAGGGTGACCGGCAGACTCTGCTGCCTCAGAGGGCGGGACGGGTAGCGGGACCGCGGGGGCCTCTGGGGCTGAGAGTTAGGGACGGGGTGACGAAGCGCCACACGCACGTGGTTATGGTTGGAGCGTTCCGATTCGTCGTCCACGTCCGTCTCGTCGATCAGGGGGATGTTGTGGACCGAGTCCGTGATGATGAACTCCGGGTGCGCCTGGAAGTCGTGAATGGAGTTCCGCGACTCCGGCCGCTCGATGCCATCATACAGGGAGCTACGGAAAGCTTTCACCACCCGGATCTATACGTCAAGGGTGCGGGGTAGGAGATGTCAAAGGGAAGAAAATGAAGGGATCGAAAGGGACAGAGAGGTGGAGAGAAGTTTAGTCTCCCTTTTGCACTACTCGCACACTTTCAGCTAGCTTGACCTGCGAGAGCTGAAAGTTTCACATCCATTAAGGCCTTTGGTGCAGTAGGCCTTTGAAAAGAAACAAAACTCCACAGCCATTCTATAGGCCTCTATAGAATGATGCCCAAAAACACAATTGAAATCCAAGTTGTAATTACAAGAGGAAAAACAAATCTCAAGATACAGTCAAGCTAACACAAGACAGCAAACACAAATCGTTCCAATACCATACATATTGAGAATATGGTCTGTCAAAGCAGCCTTAGCCCCCTGTCTGTTTTTAATGCGTGGATCTAACGAATGCCACACCAATTTCAACTACTTCTCTTATGAAACTACTTTTTTTATGATAATGATCAAAAAGTTAGATTTCTTTTATCTAACCTCTGATATAAGACATGTCGAATTTGTGAGCAAAAAAAAAAAATTACTAAAAAAGAAATAAAATAATGCAAGACATGTTTGTCTGCGAAATTCAAAAGTAGAATTACAACTTTCACTGTTGCCAGTTCAATACCAGGTGATTAAAATTCATGGAACAAAACACATGCCAACAAACGACAGTAAACACACACGCACACCAAAAAAACAATGATTTTGAAGGCACACGTCACCATGTGGTACAAACACACATACACACAGAAAACACGTTTAGAACATAAAAAGTGAGGTTTACACAACACTGCTGTGCACAGAATGCACAAACACAAAAACAACATACACAGGAAATAAAGACATGCATATTCACATACTGTTGGTGTTGACAAACTGTAATACGGATTGAACATTCTTGAAAAAACAGATTGCATTAGTGTCTGTAAGCAATATTTATTGTTCTGACATCAGTTTTCTATTCGTTACATTTATAGGGTATATTTGCAAGTCTTTTTTTTAAATCCACTTTCTATAGTCAATGGAGAAAAAAAATGTATAGAACGTAAAGCAAGGTTTAATAATCTTTAATTATATTAGCTCAGTCTAATATGAGGACATTTAGAAGTTCTTGGTTGCCTTGTTGTTTTAGGAAAGAAAAAAAAAAAGAAAAAAGTAAAACCAAACTCTCTATGCCCTCAAAAGTATGAACACATTAAATGGGACTTGTCTCCCATGCAACCATGCACAATAATTCAAGTTTCCTCTTCCCGTTCATGCATGGCATGCAAGTACACGTTCAATAGGAAAAGAAAGAAAAAAAATCCGTAAAAACATCGATCAAATTGTTCCATATTCCTTTTTCTGGCGTCCTGGTTCTCATCGTGTGTGATTTTACAGCAGCCGTGGTAAAAATGCATCTTCTTGAAAAGAAACCATTCGTGTGTGTGTGTGACCATGCATGTTGGACCGTCACATTCATCAGACGGGATTTTTCCCCCCGCTCTCCGCATTCTACATGCATAGCCAAACCACGCTTGGGAATGACCACAAAGCAATGTGACTGACAGAGGGAGGGGACTTCACAACATGGACACAACAGCACTTCTGCAGCTTTGTTTTTCCAAAGAGCCATTTGTTTTGTGGTTTATGCTTAATTTAAAGCTGTTTTCTGTTGACAGTGTAAACTTTCGAGTATAAGGCCCAGAATTCATAATGGCATTTGGTTATGATATCAAAGAGGGGGAAAAAAAACATTAAAAAAATTAACTGCAGTGAGGATTCGGCTAGTCTTTTGTAATTCAGGCACTGGATGGAAAAACAGAAAAGGAATTGTGTTTGAAAAGCTCCAAACACATCGCATCAGAACTCCTCATGACAGACGGCAGGAGAAGGGAGGTGAAACACAGACGTTTGATGGATGGAGGTCTAATCCTACGGCACAAAGTCATTTTCTTTTGTTGTGGCGTGACAGCCAAACAAAAGCTTTTGAGAAGCAGCCCTCTTGTACAACATTTTTTGAAACTAGAACTATACAAATTTTGAATGAAAGTCATTGAGCCGGATCCTTCCCTTCTCTGTTGTATTTAAGCTAAGATAGCATAGCACAAAATGCTACAAGACGATGAAAGAAGTCGAACACGAAAAAGAAACACTGGACAGGACTGACAGGACAGGATAAGACACTAAAAAAAAACTCTGTTAAAAAAAGGACAAAATTGAAAGTGTGCTCATACTTTCATTTTTAAAGGTTCAGAAATAAAAGCAACTGAATATTAACATTGAAGGGGAAGTGATGAAACCGAGGGGGTCCCAGCTGGGCTAATGCTTGTTGGTCTCTTTAAAGGGATTTGGGGAATGCTAAAATGAAGCTGTTTTCTTTGGACCACGGAAAAGATCGCTTCTGGTACCTAGAGGACAATGTTGATGTTATACTTGCTGCATTAAACCCTCATAAAGTCTGTGAGAATGACTTTCAAGAAGATTGTGTCCGAAACTACAGCTGTTTTGTGACAATAAATCATAGCAGCAGAGTAAGAAAGATTTTCTAATCAAGCAGCAACAATAGCAGGACATTGTCATTAGATCATGACGGGTTATAACACGAAACCTGTGAAGAGAGAGAGGAGAATCTGAACAAGGCGCACAAGAAGACATGAGCAAAAAACATGGCATACCGTATGTATGCTTTTTGTCCTGAACGGGATAGAAAAATGTTAGCATTATTAATGCTAATATCCCTAATGCGAAAATGGCAGCAGAAACCATTATGGGCTTATACTCGCAGGTTTACAACAGTCAACCATTGCTTTCGTCGTACCTATGTTGTCAGCTTTTGATTTAGGAAACAGATGAAACATCCCCACTTTAGTTTCTCTCAATGCAGTTCAATTGTTCTCTGGCTCTTTCGAGTGAAATCCTGGTAGCCCTTTAAGGCAACATTGATTTGAGGGTGAATTATTGGCAAATCAAGCGACGGGAGCATAAATAAAAAGGCAACAAGAAAAAGAAAACCATCTTGGCAGCATCAAGCCAGAATAAACAACAAGAGCAAGAAATAAGTTATGAGGTAGCAAGGGAGAAGGAAAGAAGAAAAGGAAGAAAGAAAGAAAGAAAGAAACTAATAAGCAAAACAAACAAAGAAGTAGAGAGTTGAAGCAGATGCTATGATGATAATCTGCTCTCGCTCTCTCTTTCACACACACATAACATTCAGCAGACTAGGTGCGTTTGAAGGCAGGCAACAATGCACGTGTGTGTGTGTGTTGGTGTAAATGCTAAGCCATCTGAGTGCACGGGCTCTACGAGGTGCCGTTAACGGAATGTAAGGACTCACTCCCGGGGGCACCAGTTGCATTGGCAGTGGAGAGAACTACGTGAGAGGGAGTAGAATTATTGGTTACGTCATGGAGTTGGCTGAGCACTGAAGAGCGGCGTCTCACTGCACCCTGAAACGAACCACTTCTCTTGAAGGTACTCACTACCTCCATCTGCAGGAGAGAAAGAAGGACATCACACAGACAGGTGAATGAGCTCAATGAAATGAACAGGACTGGGGGGTTTTATGGAGGAACGTCTTGCAGGAAAAGCAGCATTTCATAAATTGTAAATGCGCATGTATGATGTTAAGGGTGTTTCTTCAACTATGAGCACTATTTATTTTTATTAAAACCAATGGATTTAAATGTTCTTTTTGTTTTATGAAACTCACATGAAAATTGGATTGGAATGTATTTTAAAATAAAGATTTGTATCACTCTACCCTTGAAAGAAAGCAAAATTTTCATTTAAATATTATTTCTTATTACATCTATCTACACTCAGCTAAAGGGTTATTAGGAACACCATACTAATACTGTGTTTGACCCCCTTTCGCCTTCAGAACTGCCTTAATTCTACGTGGCATTGATTCAAAAAGGTGCTGAAAGCATTCTTTAGAAATGTTGTGACATGGCCATCAGAGGATGGGTACAAGGTGATCATAAAGGGATGGACATGGTCAGAAACAATACTCAGGTAGGCCGTGGCATTTAAACGATGCCCAATTGGCACTAAGGGGCCTAAAGTGTGCCAAGAAAACATCCCGCACACCATTACACCACCACCACCAGCCTGCACAGTGGTAACAAAGGCATGATCCATGTTCTCATTCTGTTTACGTCAAATTCTGACTCTACCATCTGAATGTCTCAACATAAATCGAGACTCATCAGACCAGGCAACATTTTTCCAGTCTTCAACTGTCCAATTTTGGCGAGCTCTTGCTAATTGTAGCCTCTTTTCCCTATTTGTAGTGGGGATGAGTGGTACCCGGTGGGGTCTTCTGCTGTTGTAACCCATCCGCCTCAAGGTTGTGCGTGTTGTGGCTTCACAAATGCTTTGCTGCATACCTCGGTTGTAACGCGTGGTTATTTCAGTCAAAGTTGCTCTTCTATCAGCTTAAATCAGTCGGCCCATTCTCCTCTGACCTCTAGCATCAACAAGGCATTTTTGTCCACAGGACTGCCGCATACTGGATGTTTTTGCCTTTTCACACCATTCTTTGTAAACCCTAGAAATGGTTGTGCGTGAAAATCCCAGTAAGGGAGCAGATTGTGAAATACCACCAACAACCATGCCACTCTCAAAATTGCTTAAATCATCTTTCTTTCCCATTCTGACAGTCAATTTGGAGTTCAGGAGATTGTCTTGACCAGGACCACACCCCTAAATGCTTTGAAGCAACTGCCATGTGATTGGTTGATTAGATAATCAAGCCATGTTTTGCGAAGGGTTTGGGGAAAGTCCTGGACCTACCCCAGAAAAATCATTACCAAGAAAATTCATGGATGGTCTCTCGCATATGGCAAGTCGGAGGATACGACTGAAATAGTTAATGAATTGATTAATTTAGGATACATAAACTGTTAAATTAGAAATTAGAATTTGCAAGTAAAAAATTATTAAATGTAAATATTTTGAAATGTAAATGTAAACATTTTGAGATTTGTTGGTTCAGAAAGTAAATCCAAAACTAAAGTGCCTATACTTGAAGAAACATTGAGCATACAACTCACATTAATATTTAAAAATTCCAAAAAGCCAATTATAGTTACCAAGGACTGATATAATACATGGAGATGCAAGTAGAAGAGCAAAAAAGACTGAATAAAACAGCGTGATCAAGCAGCAGAGTGAATAAAGGATGAAGTGAGGGAGAGAGAGAGACGTTAAGATTTACAACACAGAAAGCTTGTTAAATATTAATATTTCATCAATTTATAAAGGCTGGTGAAGAAAGAAAAATATGTTTGAGTTATGAGGAAAGTAAAGTTCGAAAAAAGTGCGCAAACTAGAGCATATGACACAGAAGGCATTTGGTATATTTTAAGGCAGTATGTGTCTAAGCGGGAACGGCTGTCCCTGTCAGAAACAATGCAAAAGCAACATTAAACTAGACAGGAAAAGACGGAGACTGAACGTCACCTGAGTCTGAATTCGGTTGAGTCCTCGAAACCACAGGATCTGTCCTCGTCTCAGCTCTCTCTCGGCATGGTCAATCTCATCTTCATCCTCAGCTAGGTCTTCATCCATGATCTCGTCTGGAGCCGGCCCGTGGCCCGCTTCTCTCAGACACTTCAGATGATGTGTTGGCACTGATGCTATCACCTAGGAAAAGATACAATAAAGAAACAGAAAATGACTATCAAAAATATCAGCTTTTGTTTTAATGAGTGCATCTAGAATGGCAAATCTGTTGACTGCAGCACTTACCTGTCCCCAGACCAGCTCTGCCAATCCCACAAACAGGCACCAAAGCCACTGCTCCACATTTAAGGGGGAACAGCTAAAGGGTTTCCCACCAAATTGCACAATCACAATCTACAAATCACAAACAGAGATATAGGAGTGGAATGGTTTTCTTTCATCTGTGTGTAAAGTACAAATGCATCAAAATATATGAATAAGGGAAAGTGTATATTTGAGGTGCTGTGAGTTGCTTCCATTTCTTTTTAGCTTTTTCAGCATTTTAGCTTTTTTGTCCTTGCATTGTAACAAATTAATAATAGAAAAAAATAACATTAATAGTTTATTTCTTAACTAATGTGAGGTAATAAAATGTCATTTACAAATTAAAAAGTATGATTCATAATAATAATACAAGAATTCAAATTTGGGGTGAGCAAGCTTTTTTAAATACTTTTATTAAACATGGTAACAATATATATATATATATATATAGCACAACTATATAGCAAATCAGCATATTAGAATGATTTCTGAAGGATCATGTGACACTGAAGACTGGAGTAATGATTCTGAAAATTGAGCTATCACAGGAATTAATTACTTTAAATAGAAATATTATAATAGAAATCAGTTTTACTATTTCACAATATTACTGTTTTTACAGTATTTTTGATCAAATAAATGCAGCTTTGGTGAGAATAAGAGACTTCTTTCAAAAACGTTTAACAATCTTTTAAATATTCCAAAATAAGTATTGGCAGTGTGGCATTTAATTTAACAAGTAGAAATGGAAATAAAATAATCTACATTTAAATTTCTATTTGTATGCACTCACCTGTATTCCAAAGGTCCCCAGCACGATTGAACAGAAGATGGGGTTTGAGAAGATTCCATCAAACACGTTCCTCTCTCCGTGGATCTTACGGGCATTGATCTCATTGAAGAGTTGCATGAGGACAAATGTGTTGAAAATGATGGTGTAATGTTCGGAGGGAGGAGAGTGAAGTGGAGCATTACGGCCACTGTCTATATCAAAGATCTTCTCACCTGCAAAAAAAGGTCAGGGAAAGATGAAATAAATTTCCAAACACAATATACAATATCAACCAATACTGATAAATAAAAAAACGGCTAATAAAAGAGTATGATCCTTGTAGATGAAGAAAGAGAACAGAACTTGTGTATCCAGCAAATGCTGGTTAGAACGTACCTACGAACAGCAGAGTGAAGATGATGATAAGCTGGAAGACAGCATGTCCGAGGATGTTTTTCATCATGGTTCTAGATATGAGGGGGTTGTTTCGGCCGTAGGGCTTCCTCAGGAGCAGCGCTTCAGTGGGCGGCTCCGTGGCAAGAGCAAGAGAAGCAAACGTGTCCATGATCAGATTGACCCACAGCATCTGCACAGCCTTAAGGGGAGAATCCTACACACACACACACACACACAAATAAATAAAATCACAGATTAAATGCCAGGTTTTATATACTCTTTTTTTTTGTATTTTATCCTTCAATAGTTTGTGTTCAGTAAGAATTTTTGTTAATGTTTTTGAAAGAAGAAAAAACATTTGGGTAACACTTTAGAATACTGTATCTTACTTACTGCAGAATTAATAAGGAATTATTGACGAACTAATAGGTTATTCTTCATTAACTACTTCTTCACTACTGTTAACTACTAAGGAAGATGTGTTAACTAATTAGTATGTAATATAATTTTATGATTGTGTTAAGTATCAGTTAGTTGATCAATAACTAATGAATTCTGTCATACCTCCCGAAGAACTACTACTAATTATCTACTAATTAAGGTTCAAGAAAAATAACTAAGAAGTAACTACTGAACAGTCATACAAAACTAACCTCAGATTATTTGTATATTTTATATACAGTACTGTGTGTGTCTGTTTTCCTCAGCATAGAATGCCACTGAGTAAATTCATGTATTTGAGGCAACGACTGAGGGAAACTTATTAGTAATTAATAAATAAGTATCAAACAATTCTGCAGGAATTACTTAGAAGCTGGAACAGTATTCTAAAGTGAAAATATAGGGAACCCATTAGTAATTAATAAAGAATTATCAAATAATTATCCAGGAATTAGGCTACTTATAATCTGAAACAGTCTTCTAAAGTGAAAATATAAGGAACTTATTAGTAATTAATAAATAACTTTTAAATAGTTCTTCAGGAATTACTTAGAAGCTGGAACAGTATTCTAAAGTGAAAATACAGGGAACCCATTAGTAATTAATAAATAATTATCAAATAATTATCTACGAATTAGGCTACTTATAACCTGAAACAGTCTTCTAAAGTAAAAATATAAGGAACTTATTAGTAATTAATACATAATTATTAGATAGTCCTTCAGGAATTACTTAGAACCTGAAACAGTATTCTAAAGTGACAATATAGGGAACCCATTAGTAATTAATAAAGAATTACCACATACTTCTGACTCAAATCAAACTTACTGTAAACCTTACTGTAAACTTACTAAAACCTTATAATAATAAGGTGTAATATACATGATATGTTTTTGCTTATTTGCAGATCATAGCCTATAGGTAAATGTCTGCACTTATCTTTCTTATTAGTGCTGAAGAATGACAAACTGACTATGTGTATGAGTGTTAATTAGTAGTTACTAAATAGTTATTTTTCTTGAACCTTAATTAATAGATAATTAATAGTAGTTCTTCAGGAGGTATGACAGAATTCATTAGCTATTGATTAACTAACTGATACTTAACACAATCATAAAATTATATTACATACTAATTAGTTAACACATCTTCCTTAGTAGTTAACAGTAGTGACTTAAGTGTTAATAAAGAATTACCTATTGGTTCTTCATTAATTCCTTATTAGTTATGCAGTAAGTAAGATACAGTATTCTAAAGTGTTACCAACATTTGTTTTCTATTTGAATATATTTTAAAATGTAATTCATTCCTGTGATGCCAAAGCTGAAATATCATCATTACTCCAGTCTTCAGTGTCACATGATCCTTCAGAAATCATTCCAGTATGATGATTTGGTGCTCAAGAAACACTTCTTAATTATATCAATGTTAAAAACAGTCAGCTGTACGCATATTTTTGTGTAAACTGAGATAATTTTTTAGATATCTTTTGAAATATTATAAATGTCTTCGCTTTTGATCCATTTAATGTGACCTTTCTGACTATAATACTTTTTTAAATGTATTCTTTTATATAAATTAATCACCCCAAACTTTTGAATGGAAGTGTATGCATGTACCTGCGTGATGCAGGCACCAGAGAAGGCTACTATGACAGCCACCACATTCACTGTGAGCTGAAACTGTAAGAACTTGGAGATGCTGTCATACACGTTCCTTCCCCACATCACGGCCTTCACTATGCTGGAAAAGTTATCGTCCGTCAGGATGATGTCAGAGGCCTCCTTGGCCACATCTGTACCAGCAATTCCCTATGCAAATGGAGAAAGAGCATTCACACATCTATAATTCTGGTTTGATTCATTTAAAAAAAAAAATTACACCTTTGTTTTTACACTTGGTATCTTACCATTCTGAGATTTCCCAGGTGAAATGCTTTTATGAAATGTACTGCAGGTCATATGAACTTTTCAAATGAACTTGAAGTATGGTTTGGAAGATGGCTTTTAAACTAATTAAAGAAATAAACCTTAATATCAATCAAACCTGAGCCCCACCACAACCGTCAGCTTGGAATGTCTCATATTTAGCTTCATTTGGATTTATCATTACACTTTGTGTCACAGAACCTCAAAAATATATAGCCCTCTCTAAATTGTTCATATATATTTAATGGATGGAACTTCTCACCATTGCAAACCCCACATCAGCTTTCTTCAGAGCGGGCCCGTCATTTGTACCGTCACCGGTGACTGCAACCACCTGCCTTTGATCACTAATGGTGCTGTCTATGATACCTGAACACAAGGCAAACACAAAATAAAACAAAAATCGTTATAACCGAGATCAAAACATCAGTTTATCATCATCAACAACAGGAAAAGCACAGTATCTCTGCTCATCATGTCACTTTTGTATTGTACAATGGAGATGTAATCATCTTCAGAAGAACAAGGGATGAACGCGACTGAGGAAGAGACTCACCTTTGACAAGTGTGTGTTTGTCGGTGGGGGAGGAGCGAGCAAGAACTCTGAGCTTGGGCCAAATTTTGTCAATGCGCTCTTGCTCAATCTGCAAAACATTTTTAAATAAAAATGAGAAATTTTAGTTTGAGGATGGTAGGATTTTTTCAATGTAAAAAAGACTTATGCTTTTCAGCATCGTTACTCGTTATTACTTCAGTGTCACATGATACTGTGTCAATCACTCTAACATGGTGATCTTCTCAAGAAACATTTATTGATATTATCAATGTTGAAATATTTTTGTGGAAACCATGATACAGTTTTTTATAGGATTTTTTTGATGAATAGAAAGTTCAAAAGAACAGCATTTATTTGAAATATAAATTTTTTGTAACATTGTAAATGTCTTTACTGTCATTTTTGACCAATTTAATCCATCCTTTTCTGAATAAAATTATTAACTGACCACAAATGTCCGAACATGTACGTAACTACATATATCGTCACTCATCTAGATATTTTTCACTGGCTGTTGTGTATTCCATTTAAAATGTTGTGCATGTTGTGTGTTTAGAATTAATCTTGGCAATAAGGAAAAGATTTATAATATTAATTCCTGTATAAGCTGTGTATACCTCTCCTTTCTCGTTCCTGATTCGCCTATTGAATTCCTTCCCATCTATACACAGGAAGTCGTCGCCAGGACTGATGATGCCACACTTGGCAGCAATGGCACGCGCAGTGTTTATGTTGTCACCCGTCACCATACGCACAGTGATGCCTGCTTGTTGGCACTTTTTGATGGCATCTGGGACCTGATTGGAATTACAATTAGCAAACTAGAACAGATTTCGATGTCATAAATATCCCTCATATACAACATCTTATAATCATAAAAGATTTTTTAGAGGTTAAAATGTAGATGTAGTTTCTTAGATAGGAGAACTGCAAACAGACATCTAAGTAAACTGGGCTGCATACCTCCGGTCGAACAGGGTCTTCAATGCCGACCACGGTGATACAGATGAGGTTAGAGACAATATCGGCCTCGTTGTCCCAGTCTGGCATGGGGTCAGCAGGAAGCTCCCGATAAGCGATGCAAATCGTACGAAGGCCCTCACATGCCATCGGTTCAATCACTTTCTTCACCATCTCATCTTTGTCCCGTGGCTTAAAAGCATGAACCTCACCGTCTCGGGCTAAGATGAAGGAGCACCTGGGATGAAGGCAGAACTGTTTAATTTCGTTTTACACTGCATTATTTATTTTTTAATTTTTTTGACAAAGATTGCGCTGTCCATATTTACCATAAAGCCAGCTAGAAGGAGGTAAGGTGTAATTGTTACTTCCTTTTAACACTTACACTCTTTTGTTTGACAAAGAAAACTTTGTTCAAAAAGGATTAATATCAAAATTAGTGGCAACCTCAACGCCACATGCAAAACAAAACCTCAGAACAACTCATATACTCTCCAGCAGTGTAGGGTTAAAAGTCTCTGAATTCAACATTTATTGATCAAGGTCGTTTTTTGATGTTCTATTTGGCACTATCCACAAATTAGGTACAAATTAGGCCTTAAAGAAAGATAGTCCTTGGCTTTAACTTTTTTTTTTAACAAATGGCCAGTGAAATAAGCTTAACCTTTACAAAAGGTTGATTATCAATATCAGAAGTTCAGTATCAGTTTTGAAAGAAGATTCTCATGTTCACAAAGTCGAAAACCAAAAATACAGTAAAAGCTGTAATATTGTGTAAAATTACTTCAATTCAAATAACCTTTTTAGTGAATTTCTGATCCTTCAGAAATCATTGTAATAAAATGATTTAGAGCTCAAGAAACATTTCTTATTATCATCACATTTAAAAAATAGCTGGCCTGGTTATTTAAGCGGGGAAACAGTGATACAGTGTTGTCTTAGTGATCTCAAACTAAAATTTTGAATGGTAATAAGTATATATATATATATTAGGGCTGTCAAGCGATTAATCGCATCCAAAATAAAATTTTGTGTTTACATAATATGTGGATGCACTGTGTACAATTATTTTGTATATATATAAACACACACATGCATGTATATTTAAAAAAATATATAATTTAAATATAAAAATTTATATTTATATATAATATAAATTATATATCAATCTATGTACAGAATATACATGAAAATATTTTTCAAATATATACAAGCATGTGTGTGTATTATACACACCACACACACAAAAATTATGTAAACAAACTTTTATTTTGGATGCGATTAATCGTTTGACAGCCCTAATATATATATATATATATATATATATATATATATATATATATATATATATATATATAGTGTAAATAAGTTTTAATACTTTTTAGTACATACAGACTACATGTAATTTTACCATTACAACATAATTATTGTGATTAAAAAAAAAACCACACAGGTGGGACAAGCCAAAATCACGACGTACACAAAGACAACACAACTTACTTTTTGAGCAGGATCTCAGAGGCTCCTTTGCTGTATAAACGGAAGCTTCCGTCAGGCATCTGAATGACGGTGCTCATGGATTTTCTGACAGAATTAAAAGTGTACACTTTATAGAGCTTCTCTTCAGGGATCTGCTCCCTCACAGCTTGGTAGTCCTGTTTCAGGTCCATCACGAGTCCCAGCAGAGAACACTCTGTCTTATTACCCACCTGTTTGGGCAGCCCACCTTCCTTATCTGTAGCCTAAGGGAAGAGGTGAAGAGAGAGGAAGGAATGGTGAATGAAAGGATGAAATGAGGGTTATAAAACGTAGTTAAATCACTGCATGGCCTCTCTTGCTTTACTGCTTTAGTAAAAGCCTCTCACAATTATTTTGGAGGTGTAGGCGCAGTTCACGGCAATAGCACTGGTGAGGAGCTCCAGTGTCCGGGGGTTAATCTGATCTGGTGTTGGGACGTCACGGAAGTGCTGGTCCAGTATATAAATCTGCACCACTGTCATCCGGTTTGTGGTGAGGGTCCCTGTTTTATCGGAGCAAATAGCTGTGGCATTGCCCATAGTCTCGCAGGCATCCAAATGACGCACCAGATTATTGTCCTTCATCATTTTCTGTGGAAAGACATTGATAGGAAGAGTTAAAATGTTAAGAGCACTAGCCAATGTGAGTATGTGTGTAAATGACACTTCCATGGACTCGCAGGTGCATTTTTCAACATAACGTTACAGAAAATTTCAGTTATTCATTTCTAACCTTTACGGAGTAGGCCAGTGATATGGTGACAGCCAGTGGCAAACCCTCTGGCACAGCCACCACCAGAACTGTAACTCCGATGATGAAAAATTTGACAAAGTACTGCACATAAATAGGCGTGCACTCCGTCAGCCACACCCGTCCCTGAACGACGAATGTTTCGATCACGAAGTACAGCATCAGGATAATCACAGTGATGGCGGACATCACCAGACCTGAAATAAAGAATACATCTGATTGCTAAGAAAGTAACAGCACACCTAGTAAGAGCCGAAAATTTAAGACCAAATAATTGCAGACCAAAATGTACACTACCGGAAGGACTTGACCTAAAACATCCTAACAGCAGACCTCCCCACCTGCTTTCCCGATTTGCACTGCCAGCTTGGTGAGTTTGCCCTGAAGAACTGATTTCTCCTTCTTGGGGACACTGGCTTTTTTCTTCTCTTTCTCCTCCACTTCCCCACCTTCTGCACTCTTCAGAGGCTGCATCTCCATGGCAACAGCCTCATCCTGTTTCTTAGCTATAGCGGGTCAAAGAGACGAAGTGATCAGGCAGGCAGAATCACAGGTAACTGTTGGAAATGTTTAGAATAGCCCAATCCTACACACTTTTTTGCGATTTGCATATACACTGTATCCTGCTCACACTATCATTATTTTATCTGACTGACAAGACATTTTACAAAGCAATTCATCAGGGATGCACCGATATGAAAACTTCGGCCGATGCCAATAACCGATAATTCTTTATATTTTAAAGCCCAGAACCGATATATTGGCCAATAAATCTAAATTCAAACTTTTATATTATTTTTGAGAGCCTGATTGCAAAAAAAGTCCCAAACACTTAAACATAAATCAAATATATACAGTACAGTAGCTTAGTTTGAACCAGTGTTAGTTTTAAAATGAATTTTACACTACTATGGTCAACTTTCCTTATCAAAAAAAAAAAATCTATTGCCTCACAAATAAATTAAATAATAATTAAATAATGCAAACAAGTCATTGGACAACATTACTTGCTACATTACTGAAGCGTCTCAGATGAAGGAAATAATACATTATTTATCGGCTTTAATATATCGGCAAAATTTCTTATGATAGCACTAAAAATGAATAGGCTGATACCGATATGGTGGCCAATATAATAGCAAGATGACACTTGTTACATGCAAAGTAAGCTGACCTCAAAGTGACAATAATGTACTGTTGCATGCAATAATTTGAATTGCTTATTGTTACACTATTTCACATACACCTTTGGAAAAAAAATAGTAGGCAGTATACAGTGTATGCAGTGCGGTATGTAGTATTTGATTCTGAAATAGCCTGTATAATGACTTCATCTCATCATAAATCTATCTGAACTCAATTCTACATTAGTCTTGAAAGTCACCTTTATTTTGATTGTTCTCCAGGGTCCCATCTTGTTTCCCTGCGAAATTGAATGCAGACATTTAAACAAAAACAAAAAAAAATTGTTTCTGCCTCTTGAGGTCAATGTAGCTGACATGAGAGAACAATTAAAATGCATGAGAAAGAAAACATAAAACATGGAGGGATAATATTTGACAGATATGGAGAGTTAAAACCAGGATGTCTGTTTATGAGTCTCTCTCTATTGTGAATGTCACCTACCATTTATGATGTTGTGTTCTTTGGCTTCAACACTGGGGAACTGCGTGGATGAATTACTATTGACCTCTGAAATAATTGTTGGATAGGACAAAAACGAAGGTGGTATGTAAAGACATAAAATAAAAACCTAAATGCTGAACAAAAACAATGGAAAATCAACTCAAATGAGTGAGCAACATTTCTGAGAATTTCAGTGCATCGAAATAGAAATGACCTAGAACATTAGACATTTTGAATCTGGATCATCCTGTGGGTATTCAAGCAGAAGGATTTTTCTTTTATAATGTTTATTCATGCTCAGTTTTTAATCATATATAAAATATTTTCAAAGATCTGTCAGACGCCAACCTTTCTTGCAGTCTTTCTTCTCTTCCTCCATCTCTCCGGCCCCCAGGAGGGTGAAGATGATTCCCGTTTGAGAGTTGACACCAACAGCGGTCACCACCATTTTCCCTGACCCCTCCATTACATGAGTGCCTGAAAATTGAGGGACACAGAGAAGACATTACAGTAAATATTTTCATCCCTATTCGCTTAAAGGGGTCATCAGATGCATATTTTCCACAAGTTGGTATGATTCTTTAGGATCTTTGTGTCAAATTTGTAACATACTTTGGTTAAAATACCTCACATGGTTGTATAAAACAACCCCTTTGTACCGCTAATGGCTGAGGGGGAAATATGCTAATACGGGACAGTCAGTCAGTGGTCGGGGGCGAAGCATCATATGACATCATATCGCTCAGAAAATCCAAACGGCTTGATTATTGAGAGTGTTTAGGCTTTTTGAGGATTAAAAAAAAGGAGTGAATGGGTTTTTTTTTTCATTGTTGCATCCGATGACCCCTTTAAAAAGCCCATCAAACACCAGTTACCACTTTTCAAACAAACACAAATTAAAATAGCTTATTGGTGCCATCTCGTGACTCAAAAGGTTTAGCAAGTGACTAAAAAGACTTCAATTTTAATTTCTCCAGTCTCCAGTTTGAGGATGTTTAAATGAAATGTCATCGTTTATGCACGGATTTTAAGGGTTACGTCAATCCCAAAAGTGTCATAAAAACCAAAAAACACTGTTGTTGAACAGCTACTTCATCTTGGTATTTGTAAAGTGAGGTAAAGGGGAAATATATGCCTATAATATTAATTTATTGTATGAGTCACGAATAACCTCCTTATGTAATGTATTGTGTTTGTTTGTTGTGCACACATTAGCCCCTGCACTTGTCTAAACCAAGGATCAAAATTAAGGCTGAAGTCTCTTCCATGGCCTTTCCTCTTAGTGTGTAATACAATTAAACCGAGCCAGATTGCTTCTTTGTTCCCTGGTTCGCTGCAGATTAATTCTTTCTTTCTTTACCAGTATTTTTGTCTTGTTTTCAAGTAAAAATCTTTACACAACCATAATGATATTTGTTAAAAAACTAAACAACTTTAGAATAAGGTTTCATTAGTTAACTACTTAGTTAACCTGAACTAATGAACAAGCATTTATTAATCTTAGTTAATATTCATTTACTAACACATTATTAAAATCAAAAATTGTATTTGTTAACATTAGTTAATGCACTGTGAACTAACATGAACAATGAACTGTATTTTTATTAACTAACATTAGCAAAGATTAATAACTGTAACAAATGTATTGCTCATAGTTCCTGTTAGTTACTACATTAACTAATGTTAACGAATGAGACCTTATTGTAAAGTGTTACCCAAAAAATTACCTAAGAAGCATTTATCCAACACCGCTGTTTTAAGAATTACATTAAACACACTTTAGTGACGTTTATGACTATTGCCAATGAGAGAAGATATGATTCACAGGGATAAACAAGACAAAATTACTGATTAAGACAATAATTTTTTGCAGCGTGCATTTCCTTCTTCACAACAGAAGCCTTCAAACATACATGTTGAGAAGAGCCGCCTCTCCCATTGTGACAGAGAAAATAATATAATATGCGCTCCTTGATTAATTACACAAGCTGATGAATGACAGAAAAATCTTCTCAATAAAACAAGACAGTTCAACGGAATATAGTCATTTTAAAGTTTAAAAACGTGCAGCAAGAGATAATTACTGGGGTAACATGAACTCTTAATTTAATTTCAATATAAATATATAATATAAAATAAAATAAAAAATGTATTTGGTGACATGGATCAAATGACTACGAAAGCCCTGAACCACAACTTAAAAATTTTAATAAATAAATAAATCTAGCATTTTGAGATTAAAGCCGAAAAATTTTGAGATTAAAGTCGAAATTTCTTTTTCGAGATTAAAGTCTAAACATTTCGAGATTAAAGTCTAAACATTTCGAGATTAAAATCGAAAAATTTAGAGATTAAAGTCGAAATATTTCGAGAGACGAGAGTCTTTCGTAGAAGCTGTGCGTGTGTTTGCCATTGTCTCACATTGCTGCACACACAGGCATGCATAATGGCCAATAGCGAGTTTCACACTGTGAAAGTGTGTTTTGTTTCATCAAAGGAAATTCAACAGGTGCCAATCTACCAGCATTAGGCTACCATTATAGGACGTTATAAAATATACTGCGCCGGAATAGACTTTAGCCTATAGAAAAACCAACACGGAAAACATTTTTCAGACTGGATGGAGAAATCCAGCTTTATGAGTGAATGAATGAATGAATGAATGAATGAATGAATGAATGAATGAATGAATGAATGGGGCATTTATATAGCACTTTCATATGTCTACTAGGCCTACACACAAAGTGCTTTACAAACATATCAGAGAATCTCTCCTCAACCATTAGTGGTAATTAAATCTTAGGAAATCACAGGATCCGGCCAAATGATTGAATACAGAATGATGCGCTTAAAATGCATCCAGAACGTATTTACGGTGAAGAGGGAGACAGAATGGTTACTGTTGTGTTCTCGACCCAGATAGTGTTGACTAGACGAGCACAAAAACACCTCAGAAACACTGCCACTAGCCACTGCCACTGAAAGCCCAGATAAAAGTAAAATGCTATTTTGTGTTAATCCATGGCAGTTCGACTTCACAAGTGCATTTCTTTACACAAACACACACGCACGCGCGCTCTGAGCCAGTGGACGCGCACTGTTATGAATGCACACGCTTCCATGGAAGACTGTGTTATCGTAATGTTTTGACTTTATTCTCGAAACGTTTCGACTTTATTCGACTTAATCTCAAAATGCAAGATTTATTTATTTATTTTTTTCAGTTTTTTTTATGTTGCAATTGAGGGCTTCCGTAATTGACACCTTTGTACATAAGTTTAGAACTTCTTGCTTCCAGTTTTAAAATGCAATTTATTTCTGTGATAGCAAAGCAGATGTTATATCTTTTGTAACATTATAAATGTCTTTACTGTTAATTTGTCACTTTCCTGAATAAAAGTATTAATTTCTTAAAAAAAACAAAAACTAATCTGAGCAGTACAGTGTACATTCTTATTCTAAATCTAAATATTAGCTGAAAATATAGGTAAAAGTGATTCTGAATTGGACACTCAAGGTCCAAAGTTAATGATATTTAAAAAATTATTTGCGCAAATTAGTATCCATTACTCTCCGTTAACGTCAATTTATTTACGCAAGCCCATTCTAATCAGGTTACATATGCATTTTTCACATAAATGCCTAAAACCATGTTATGTTTCCATAGATTCCATTTCTCATTTTTCTTTCACACTTGATTATGTAGAGGTTGAGGTCGTGGGCGCTGTGTGTGTAGCCAAGCGGAGAAACAGATGCTTCTCTGGTGAGCTGTGATCATTAGAAAGAAGTGGCAGAGCAGGTCTCTGGACGGCCAAACACAAATCTGAGCCCTTCTCCGGGAAGCAGAGATGAGGGAAGTAGCTGATTAACCTGTTTATCAGACCTCAGGGACATTATCTCATTAAAGCGGTCAATGAGATTTAACCCAAGCACTGTGCAATCTCAGTGTTAAAGTATTGACAAAATACTTTGCAAGCAAAGTACCCAACCCCCTCAAACAGCAAATTGGTTCAGTTTAGATGGATTGCAACAGTGTCATCCTAAATTAATTGATATTGGTGATTTTCTTAACACAATAAAGACTTACAGTATACTATATACATGTGATGTCGCCATAAGGGAATAGTGCCCGTGGGTCCTGCTCAAACAAACAAAACACCCTTTGCATGCTCAAACCTGCCACCTGCTCCAATGATCTGTTTGCAACCCAAATCATTTGAAATCTTGAACAGATGGTGAATATCTTTCAGTATTTGGATGGTTCTGAATAACCAAAATTATTTATGTAAAAAAACCCACAAACATTCATCACAACCTATGGCCATATGGCCGACCCAGTCCACCCAACCCCACGCAAACATATGTTCACTTACATAACCTTTACACCCTACCTGATAGCAGCATGGGATCCTTGTCGATGGATTTGCCTACGTGATCAGACTCTCCAGTGAGGGAGCTCTCATCGATCTTGAGGTCGTTCCCTTGGATGAGAACACCATCCGCGGGCAGGAGGTCGCCTATGGGGCCCCAGAGTGACAGTAACAGATCAATTACATCTTAGCGGCTTTGAATACTACTTCCTCTAATGAATGAAATATTCAAAGGCATCTTCACATTTTCTCTCTCTCTCTCTTGTATATATATATATATATATATATGCATAATTCAGGATAATCTTAAGGATTTTAAAAAGATTCTAAATTTAAATATAAATTATTTAGATTATTTACTTCACGACAGGTAAATAGGGTATAAAAAAAAAACCTAATAGACATTACCATGCTTCCCGAGGTGATCTATTACATTCAAAAATTGCAAAGATTTTTTATTTATATTTAAATATGCAAATTAGACATTATATAATTAAATATGCACCAATTTGCATACATTTCCAGAACAGAAATATGAACATTGGATAAAGCAAGGTTCGTTCAAACTCTTTATTCAATTTTGTTGACAAATTAGAGTTAAAGGTTTTTACAAAAGGGATTTTGGAGATTTTGGATTTATCACTCAAATCTGAAAATAGTCTTTTCACTAGTTTGAAACAACACTATATTTGTATAACAACATAATAGCCCAAAATCTCAAAACTGACCAATAGATTTTGCCGTTAATAAAATATAAAAACCATTCAAATAATTATTAAAGCACCAAAAAAAATCATTTTAGCATTTTTTGCCCTCATTTTTCCTTTTCAGCATTATTTGTGAAAAAAAAAAATTACTATTTCATTTTCAGGGTTACAGTTGTCGGCACGTCACTCAACAAAAGGGTTATTTTTAGTTAGCTGTTTGAACTAGTTCCCCAAATCGGACTGAACCAACTGAAGTCAGCACATTTAGTGCTCTTGTTAGTCCAACAGTACACTGAACTGAGAACAGTACGGACTGTCTGCCGAGTGTCATTAAGGGGGCGAAATGTACATAGGATGTAAGAGTAGCGTAAGCTTAGGTGAGAGTTGAGAGTTAGGTGAGAGTCCGCATTCATCAATACATCATAAGTCGGGTCAGAGGTCACTCTACCGCTGGAATTAGACTTGCATCACTCACTTCAGAAGGCCCTTATTAACCCCGTATGGATTACTTTTATGATGGATGGAAGTACCAAGGTACCATTTACTCTCATTATAAAGCTTGGAAAAGCCAGGATATTTTTTAATATAACTTTGTTTGAGTTTGGCTGAAAAAAGAAAGTCATATACACATAAGACGGCTTGAGGGTCAGTAAATTAAGGGATAATTATTTTTTGGAGGGTGAACCAACCCTTTAATTCAGAAACATTGTTGCATGCAAGATGTCTTTTATAAAAAAAAAAAAAAAAAAACAGGTTGCGGAGGCAAATTTGAACTCTACTGACCATATTTGACTTGGGCAACATCCCCCACCACCATCTCAGCCACGGGGATTTGAATGACTGTGCCGTTCCGCACCACAGCGAAGCGTTGCTCCTGCTCGATGCGGCTCTGCAGGCCACGGAACTGCTTTTCTTTGCTCCAGTCATTAAACGCCGTCACCAGCACCACGCAGAACACCGAGAGCAGGATAGCTGCGCCCTCGATCCAGCCCGCCTCCGCCTCTCCCTCGTCCTCCGCACCTGCACTCACATTACTACATGCTGGAGAGAGAGAGAAAGAAAAGAGATGGAAAGGTAAAAATGTGTGGGAGGACAGGGAGTTTAAGTGTCTACTTGTGATCCTTTATGTTCTTTTATCTATCCATCCATCTCTCACTCCATTCCTTTTATTCTTTGATTTGTTAGCTATCCATGCAACTATACAGTTACTTACGTCGTAAAGTAACGACACAAGAGGCTTTTAGAGACAAACATATGCTAAAATGTTATGGAATAAACACATGTACAAGTTGCAGTGTTAGTATTTGCAAATGAAAGGACACCAGACCTTTTAATAGGAAATTGGCTATGACATAAAACTTATCATGTTTTTCCTGAGCTTCCCATGAAAGGACACCAGACCTTTTATTAGGAAATTGGCTACGACATAAAACTTATCATGTTTTTCCTGAGCTTCCCATGAAAGGACAGCAATCCCTGTTCTAATATTGATAGATTTTGTTTTCATTTTTTTAACATTTTTACTATTTTATCAATCCTTAAGACTAAGTCACCTTCACTGTCCCCTCCAGGCGGCTGGTAAAAGGACAGTCCGAGGGAAATAATGGCCGCAATTTCCAGGATTATAAGGGTAACATCCTGTAGAGCCTCCCACACGAGCTGAAGGAAGGTCTTGGGCTTCTTAGGAGGGATGAAGTTCATTCCAAACACCTGCCGACGTTTCTCCAAGTCTGCGGGATTGTCCGATAGTCCTTTTGAGAAGGAAGGATGGCAATAAAAGTCATTTTTACTACTCAAAAGAGAAATGTTCAGTGACATTATTATGTCATTCAATTAAATGTAAAATACCCACACCAAACTGTCCACCTGTGAAGCCTGAAACATTCTCACCATCAAAATTCAACAGGATTTGTTTTAATGCAAAAAAAAAATCAATCCAAGAACATGTATACTGGTGTAAGGTGTGAAAAACCCTAATGAATGAGTATTAATGGGGGTTTTTTTCTCCATGCAAACGCTTCTGAGAACTTCCTGGATTCTCATTAGTCATCACTCAATTCTGTTAACACCAATCCCTGACCTCTTATGGTGACAGGAGGGGAGGGAACAGGACATTACAAGAGAACACAGGGCACAGATGGTTAAGTCAGTGTGTTTCGGATGCACCACAGGGTGTGATTTTTGGCAGCAAGACCCAGACAGACTGTCACACTCTCTGAATCCTCACCCTGCCAATCATCACCTGCTGCCCCTGGCAACCTCTCATCTCCCATCAGAGCTTCCCTTTCACTCACTGTAAAGCCTAATTGAGTTACTCCAAAGGTTTGTGGGAAATCATTTCCCTAACTCATTCCAATTGCCCCAATTAATTCATTCAGTCTCTGTTCATGGCACAAGAAAATTAAGACAGCTAAGACGCAGCAATGCAATCCTCTTTCAACAGAATAAGTATTGAAAGACTTTTGCAGTACATCCAGCCCTTTCTTCTACTCTTTCATCTTTCCATCCATGCCCGTAAGCTTTTCTTTTTGTATCCCTGTCACGGTTTCTGAAGAGAGGTTTTTCAAAGAGCAGTATTAAAAGAGGAAAAAGAGCTTTACAATAAACTTAAAGTAACCTCGTCGTGGTTGCCAAATAAATGCAGGCAGACCGCATGACTTGGTCGGAACAAGATGCAAATCAATGTGATTATCAGAGCGCAAACTAGGATCATCTACCCAGAATAGCCACAGCAATAAAAGATTCAGAGCAAAATCATTCTAAAATTCCTTTAATAGTTAAACACAAATCTTAGCTAACTAAATTAACTAAACATTCCCTGGTGGTGGAATGCCCTGCCTAACTCAACCCGAGCGTTTTAAAGAAACGGCTAAAGATGCATCTTTTAGGTCAAGGGATGCATTAATACTAAAACGACCTATTCTACTGTATGTATTTTTCCATATATATATATATATATATATTTGCCCTTTTGTTGGCTTAATTGCTTTTTTTGTTCTCCTCATGCTAAATGATAAAATGTAAAAGCAATATCAACTCTGTTATGCTCCATAACTTAGAAAGCTATCAAATAAAACATGAAACTATGTTTGAAAAATCCCATGATGTTGTATAAAGGCACATTTCTGAAAAACTGGGACAAAAAACTGCTGCAGAGAGAAAAACAGCATTACAGAAAGATGCTCTCGTCTGATAACATTGGGCCGTGTTTGCTTTCAAAAGCAGATAAAGGTGCCTGGCATTTGGTATTCTTTCTGTAAAGACGGGCTTGTTATTGAATATACGTGCATCTAGATTTACAGGAATTCTGTCATTATTTACTCATCCTCTGGTGATTCAAATCCTGTATAACTGACTTTCTTCTGTGGACCACAAAATGGGCAGGGTGAACTGACCTGGTTGCTCTTTCACATGCAGTTACAAAGAATGGGGACTTAGTCATGTAGCTTTAAATAAGGACATGAAAGCACCATGAAAGTACCATAAAATGGACCATAGAATTTTGTGCACTACATTAAAGTCTATAACCACTGAATTTTTACAATAGCTGAATAGCTTCTAAAGCTTAATAGCTGAAAATGTCTGTATGTTTCAGGATGCACGTGTGATCTTATGTAATTGAGCAGGAGATATGGTCACATGTCGAAACTAGAGCTACTCACCATCGGCAGGTGAAGTCTTGAGTCTGTGACAGATGGTTTCTGTGTCTGTGTAGCTCTCATGGATCTTCTGCAGGGCCTCGGGTCCCCTGAGCTCCATCAGCGAACACAACTCGTCCACTGTCATCCCGAAATCCCCCTCGTTGCCTCCTCCGTCCATGGCTGGCTTCTTAGGGTGGAACTCTACCGTGCTGTTGCCCAGATCCCCCATGATGGTGTGTTGGTTTTGGAAGACTAGCAGCTTTTTAGCAAATGCTATGAGCTAAGAGATGGGTACCTGGGAAAATGTGTTTTCTCTTTTGTCCTATATATATTCGTTCTCACCTATTTCTAAGATGTTCTCTATGTAGTTCTCCATTTTGAGACATGAATTGTAAGTTTGTTTTATTGGGGATTTCTATTATATGGTGTAGTAGCAGGGGTTCCCCTGAAATATCCCCCCATAAAGAAAAAATCAGCAAAAAAAGTGGTAGCCATTGTGCCAATCCATCTATATGAAGACCAAATGAGGCAAGTGTTACTGATTATTAAACAATAAAGGGGATCTATTGACACAGGAATAAAGTTGATAAATAACCTGAGGAACAAACAAAAAAAGAAAAGGAAAAAAGAGAATGTTAAACATTCATCTCTGAACTTGGTCAAACTAAAAACACAGACAGCTGTGAAATGCAAGTGAGCAAGATGCCACCTTAAAATCTTGAGACACGACAGACACATTTATTTCATTAAAAATAATAAAAAAACGAATCAAAAACATTATCATTTTTTTCAGGCTCATTTTCAGGCTCATCATAGGTGAATAACCATGATCACAAAATATAACAGCTAGACAATGATTTGAGATAAAATGTGCTTGAAATTTTGTGTAAAATACTATAAATTGTTTTTTCCACAACAGACTTCCCGGGGTCCGTAGCATAAATCACATTAGAAAATGAAAGCTAGGTTATGTTTGAACATATCTTATTTAGCTGATGTAAATTAAACGCAATACTCACGTTTCTGCATTTAAATACATTGGCTTACATTATATTTTATCAAATTCTTTTCAGTCAAACTATTATTTTCATCCCTTTTGGGAGGGTCTCATCTAGGGAGGTCGGCTCCCCATATACCCCCGTGATTCGAACTGTGAACCTAACGTTAACGTTAGCCTACTTAACGTTACATTATGAACACATAGTTTTGTCTAATGGTATCGTTCAAAATTGGAAAAAATAATGATTTAGACTAAACGTCTCGAAATGTGGAGGTGGCATTTCTCACCGAGGAGTCACAGGTGTAGGTAGTTTTGTGGGAAACCAAGTAGGCAAGTGTTCACAATGCACACCTACTGCAATGGATTGTTTACATAATATCCGATGGAAACCGGGGACAATTACTCTCTATCTAAAGGCTTTTTGAAATACTCTCTCTTTATAAAAGCGGTGTATATGTGCGTCTCTCCCCAACCCATGTAGGCTACTTTACAGTACCGCCTCTCGGCGCAAAATCTGCCTTCACTCTAGTCAGTACGAGACACCTGCGCATGCGCACACAAACACTTGCCCAATCCCACTGCAGAACAGATTTACGAAGACAACACTACCAGCCATCAGGCCTGCAAATTTGGATGACATTACAAGCCGCTTGAGCCTCCATTTCCCTGCTGTGACACCAACTTTACCGAACATTTAAACCCATAATCTGTGTGCGCGCCTCCTCATCTTTTATTAAAAAATGGCCAGGAGAATCCTCAACAAACAGGCTCTTTAAACAAGATGATGCCCTTTCCTGGTAACCTTCAGGAATCGGATGTTCACCTTGGTCCACTGTACAGCTGCTCAGAGCTTATGACAGAGTCTGTAGCATTTGTGTTATGATTTATTTTGGTTTAATCACGACAGGAAGGTAAATCAAATGTATATTAAAAGCATTTAGAGGGGATTAAAATGAGATAATGCACAAACTGACCAGAGAGCAAGGTTACATCCATCCACCACCTGCTTTCCAGATCAGTCTACCCAGAACTACTTTTTTTATTTTTTATTTTACCTATACAGGTAAATAAAAATTCACAGCTCTTAATTAAGTTTATGGCACAATGACGACGATTAATATTTTTTAAATACATGCTAGTGTTGAGAATGCAAGTCGTGTCAAATTTCGGATTACAAAAATGCATTATTATGTATGATTATATTATTATTATTCGTCTATTTTTTATTTCATTTAGGCTATATTGATTATTACCATTTTATTTGAATGACATTAAAAAACGATTGTTAAACTATCAGGAATAGCTACACTCATGGCAAAAAAAAGTCATATTGGTGAATAATATCAGCATAAATATGCCAGGCGTACAGTAAATGATGATGATAATTTCCATGCAATGCTTCCCTACTGATATTATAATAATAAAGCACTTTAATTATACATTAGCAGACACTCGACTGCAACAAATAGACAAACACATAAAACATACCCCGCTGACACCTCCAGGCACTTGTGAACATCTATCCATGAACAAATTTATTCACTCACCGCGCAGGCCATGCTCCAAGGACATTTCACGTTGAGCCGGAAAAAAGGCAGGAAAAACGGAATAATATCCAGTGATTTATCCTCAAATCATGCCCATCATGGAGAACACAAAAATGAAAGTCACATCATTTGACCTTTACGCTATTCCAAATGCAGATGATGCGCAACGGTGCAGAATAGAAATCAAATGAAGGGAGCAGGAGGCAGCAGACGGTGGTGACCACTTCATCTTATGCGGAAGAAAACCTGAATGATGCAGATGAGATTGTACCATGTCCGCATTAATTAATCTGTTAAAAACGGCGTATTGTGCTGTCGGGAACGTAAAGGAGGGTCGTTTTGGTCACATCGTTGCTGTTTTTTTGGGTGCTGATTGATAGAGTGATGGGTGAAGGAGAGATGTGGGTCTACATGCTGATGATGCCAGTTTGACGCGCATCTCGCGGTGATGATGGCAGCGGTAGCAGCATCCGAGCGCCGGAGGACGGGGGGGTGGGGGAGGGGTGGACGAATAACTTCGCTTCCCTCCCTCACTCTCGCTCCCCTCAATCCTTTCCTTTTCCCGGTAAAGACGAATTCTACTATGGCGAAGGCTTAGTATTATTATATTTATATTTTAAATATTCATAACCTAAGCTTTTGCCTTAGGAAGGTAACCAAGCAAGGTAGCAACCAAACATCAGCACGAGTAATCAATATTCATAAGCAGAACATTCGCAATTGGGTGGTTGTGACGAAACGTAGGCATGATGTACTTAATATTCATAAGGAGAACATTCGCCATTGGGTGGTTGTCACGATACGTTAGCATGATGTACTTAATATTCATAAGTAGAACATTCGCCATTGGGTGATTTTTACGATACGGTAGGCATTAGGCAGCATGATGCATCTTAAATTTCCATGAAACAGATATTCGGCATTGGACGATTTTATCTCGCAACGTCAGCATCTTATTAATATCCATGTGCTAATTTTGCATGTTAGCACAGAATAATCACTATACTCGTCAAAAAACAAACAAACAATATATATATATATATATATATATATATATTTTTTTTAAACTTTAGATTGAGACAAAATTGTTATAGTTAAGCCAAACATAATTAATTAACTAAAACAATAAAACAAACAAAAATTAATTTTTCAATTTTGCTTGATGAATTTACTCTTTAATTCATTCCCGTCTCTCCCTCTCTCGGCTGGGTATTAATTATTAAGCAAGTGCTCATGCAGTCTGCTGCCTGCTCCATTAATAAAACATCCAGACAAAGGATTTAAAAAGAGAGAGCCTTGGATTAATTAATATTAATTTTAGTTTCAAAGTAGCCTATAGGCTAAACAAGAATTTTGTGTGCCTGTAGTTTTTTTTTTAAATATATATATATATATATATATATATATATATATATATATATATATATATATATATATATATATATATATATATAATTGGGGTCTTATAGGGAATCTATAATAGGGAATCTTGTTTAATTTATTAAATAAATAACAAGATTCCCTATTTGTTCACGTACTATAATCTGTAATGTTCTCCTGCATGCATCCCAAATGAATGACGAGTGAATCCCTCTACTGGAGAAGAATGGCATTGCATCCAGCAGCGCAATTTATCTATTCTGAAGCCAATTTGATTAAATTATGTCTTTTACAATGCCCTGAGCTGTTATCTAACACAAGGACTGCATATTTAATAAGTGCCTTCTCACTCTACTGAGGTGAAAACAAAAGCCTACTCATACCAAATAAGATTGAAGATTGATGTATCAAACTGAAATTCTGAATTTTATCCAGTTTTATTTATTTTATCCAGTAGGATAATATATATGTATTATGATAGGCCTATATTTTCATGACTGCACTCCTTTTAAATAATAAATAATAACACAAACAAAAACACTCAAGGTGACCCTCCTCACGGAGATCCCTCACCTCAGAGCCGTTTTTCAACGGCTCTGCCTCACCTGAACTGCGAGTTGTCGTCATTGTAAAGAGCCCCTCCCCTCTCCGCCATGTTGGTAGGATTCCCACGGCAAAACATGATTGTTTACATGTGTTCTTAACTTGGTAGTAGATGAGGTTCTCGCAATTCCGCACTGTTTTACCATACCTGGAAGTCACTGCTGCACTAAAAAACTCATGCGATACATATGGAAAACATAGGAACAATGCAATACAGTTTTTTAGGTTTAGGTTTTAGGGTTAGTTTTTTAGACACAACATCAGGGAGAGTATCTGACGAGGAGACGCTGGGTTGCTTGGTTGGCGAATGCCTTTAGTATATGATTTTCACTGTTTGCCGTGCCTTAACGAACATATGCAAATGTGTTGTTTGAGTGCCTTGTTCATTAATTTTTTATTTCTTTGAAATAAATGTTTGAAACAACTTGATATGGCTTAACAATATTTTATTGAGAACTGAAATATATAACGTTATAAATATTTTTGGACAACATAAGTTACATGGACAACATAAGTAATAATAATAATAATGTTATTAGTGCAAACATTATCTTAGTGTTATTAGTGCAAACATTATCTTAGTATTATCTTATTAGTGCAACAAATATCTTGATGCTGCTTCTCCAAATACACTGTTTTGCGCTTTTGTGAGTTTGTTCCTGTAAGGTCCCTTTTTTTTTTTTTGCCTTATCTTTTTGCATTGCTTTACTTACTTTTTTTCCACATATTCTTAGATTCGTCTCTGTCCAGCCAAAATAATAAATGCGCGAAAATAATAAATGCACGAAAATTAAAAAGAGCTCTGGAGTGTTCTAAAGGCGTTGTCGCTGGTAGCCAGCGATAGCGTCTCCTACCATCATGGCCGACATGCTCAGACCCCGCCCAAATTGGCACGTGACTACTCATTCTCAATACTGAAAGGGTCAACCATTTGACAGTAATAGGGAATTTAAATAATGTTGACATACATAATACATAACTACACTGAAAATGAAAATAATATTCAAAATACATCAACCTTAATTACATAAGAAAATAATGCAAATAATAAACAAATACATTTCTACATACAATGAACATAAACACAATAAAACATGAAACAATAACCCCCTGCTCCCATTGAGAAATGGACTATGCCAACACTACCCAGAATTCTTTGGGATGGCATAAATTGAGGAACAGGAAAGCCCAGGCCGCATGTCCCACCCCCAGAAACCATGTTGCAGACATTAACCCAGAAAGTTAGTTTTCAAATGAGAATAAAACTAATGATTTATATAAATACCAAAATAAAGAAATAAATCTCTTGGTGTTTTTTTAACAGTCTAATGTGCACCCCAGACTAGAAAAAAGTTACCAAATAATGAGAAACAAACATTTACAGAAATAACATAAACCAAACAAACACAGGACATACTGCCATCAGGGGTAACTTTGACTTTCTCACACAAGTCAAAACAATTTTGCCAACATTGTTTATTGGCTCCATACTTTCTCGAAGGGCTGTTTTAATGGTTTAGATTCAAATAAAGGTTTTAACAAGAGTGGAATGTGCTGTATGTAATCCTCTAACATAATCTGTTGGTGGGTCTCCCCTTCTCTCATTCTCTCTTCCACCAAACACATGATTCAGATCAAGCCCACTTTTGAGGGCTAGGCTAACAAACGAACAGAGGAAGTGCAAATCTGGACCAAAGTTCAACCTCACTCTGTTCCCAGTCCGATTTCTAAAACAAGAGATATACAATGAATACATAAGTGAGGGACCTTGCTCACTCTCTGCAATACACTTTCACACGCTGTCTGCCAGATCAGGAATAAAAACTGCACAGTTGGAGCATCACACATCTTCAGGACATCGCCAAAGGCAAGGAACATTCTACTTGTCTGTGTGGTTAAAATGTTTCTTTTTGCAGTTGCAGTTCAAAGTAAATATCATTATATAGAGTAAAAGGAGACTATATTTCAGAATGTCATTAAGAACAACGTACACAGTGTTTTTATACAATGAGCTACACAGTTGTACATTTGCATACTTGTGCAAATCACTAAATTGCTTGCGATAGGCTACACAGGTTTAGATACTCATGTCTTTCGAATGCCAAAGTTTAATCTTGGATAAATAGCCTTTACATAACTATTTAGCATACATGTGAGGGAAATGTATCTGTGCTTAGTTCAAGACCTTTTCTTACATGCTATCAGTTAACTCTTGAAACTTTACATTATTTTGAAGCAGGGTCTGGTCAATGTGCAATACTTCTCTACAGATAACTGTATTCTCTCAGATAACTGTACTTCTCTACAGATAACTGTATTCTCCCAGATAACTGTACTTCTCTCAGATAACTGTATTCTCTTCTCTCTGGCAAATGAGGAATAGAGACAAAACACAATAAATAAATGAATAAATAAATAATGGAGAGACAAAAGACATGAGATCATTACCAACGACTTAAAATAAGCATTCATATCCATTTGTAATCATTAATGATATCGTTAAAAAAACTTAGTACTCAAAGCGCTTCACATGAAAGAGGGAATCTCCTCAACCACCACCAACGTGCAACATCCACCACCTTGATGCGACGGCAAGCATATTATGTATTATAATATTTACATTTATTCATTTAGATGACACTTTTATCCAAAGCAACTTACAATTGCTATATATGTCAGAGGTCGCACGCCTCTGGAGCAACTAGGGGTTAAGTGTCTTACACTGGTGTCTCACAGTGGATTCGAACCCGGGTCTCTCACACCAAATGCATGCGTCTTATCCACTGCGCCATCACTACCCCCAAAATTATCAAAAAAGAATCAGCATGTATCCGTCCATTAATTTGGGTTTACAAAACGGCAAATTAAGAATCAATAAGATGTTTTTACGTACTTGATTTGTAATACTCAGTATCTGAATTTAAGCAATGCTAATGATTAAAGTGGAAGTTCACCGTTGAAAAAAAGAAAACTCTTTCATCATTAATGTTAACCTGAACCTGTATGACTTTCTTCTGCAGAAGAAGACGTATAACTATATACATTTTGAAAGACCAAGTGGTCCAAACAACATTCCACAAACTTGGAGGTTCATTTAATGGATTAAAAACAACATGAAGGTGAGTAGATGACAGATTTGCAAATTTTGGGTGAATTATCCCTTTTAAACACAAATATATTAAGTAACTGACCTGGCATTATTTTCTAATTTACAAGCATAAGTACATATGTTTTTTTCTACAATTGCAAAGAGTCAAGCAGCAATGTGTTTTTCCCAATCAAAATTATTGTCTCACCATACTAATTTTCAGACAATGCTGCTGCATACCTCCATCTTTGTCCTTGTCTTTCTTTGGAGTCTCCCACCACTTTCCCTGACTGGGAAGATCCTAGTGTACCCTGTGGATGGAAGCCATTGGCTTAACATGGACATTCTGCTACGAGAGCTTCATCAGCGAGGTCACAAACTGACAGTGATCCGTTCTGCCAACAGTTGGTACATCCCAGAGAACACCACACACTATACGCCCATCACAGTCCAGATTGAGCACCTCAGCAGTATAGAGGACCCAGAGTACATGGCGTCCTTTCTTCAGAGAAACATTGAGATCCAAAGAGGGAAGGGATCAATTTGGTCATTCATTGCCCTGCAGAAAGAAATCCTTACTCTATTAGAAGAGTCTCACAGGTCTTCTGCTGAGATGGTGAGGATCATCCTAGAAGACAAAAAGCTTATAAAAACACTCAAAGAGTCCAAGTACGATTTGATGCTAACTGATCCTGGTTTTGCAGGAGGGGTCATATTGGGTGTGCACTTGGGTCTACCAATGGTGTTCAACGTACGATGGATAACAAACGGAGAAGGGCACTTTGCAATTGCACCGTCACCGCTTTCTTACATCCCAACTATCGGATCCGGGGTGACGGACAAAATGAGCTTTGTGAATAAAATGAAAAATCTCTTGCATTTTGGAATCGGCCAATATATGGACCACATGCTCATTAGGCCCCTCTATCAAGGAGTTGTCAGCAAATACATAGACCCGAATTCCAATGTCTACTCTCTGATCCAAGGAGCAGATTTGTGGCTCATGCGAGTCGATTTTGTTTTCGAGTTCCCTCGTCCTACTATGCCCAACGTGGTCTACATTGGAGGCTTCCAGTGCAAACCATCCAAACCTCTACCAGATGAATTGGAGAAGTTTGTCGAGAGTTCTGGAGAGCATGGGGTGGTGATCATGTCTTTGGGTACCCTGCTTGGAAGTCTGGTTCCGGACATATCTGAGGTTATCGCCTCTGCCTTCGCTCGCTTGCCGCAAAAGGTGATTTGGAGGCATGTAGGGGAAAAGCCGTCTACATTGGGGAATAACACACTCATCGTGGAATGGTTGCCTCAGAACGATCTCCTAGGGCATCCTAAAACTAAAGCTTTCGTCACCCACGGAGGAACGAATGGAATCTATGAAGCTATTTACCACAGCGTGCCGATGCTTGGACTCCCGCTCATCTTCGACCAATTCGACAACATGATTCGCCTGGAAGCCAGAGGGGTGGCTCAAGTGCTTGACGTCGCAGTCCTGGATGTAGATACCCTAACGCAAGCCCTGATGGATATCCTGGATGAAAATCAACCATACCAGAAGAACATGCGCAGAATATCAAGTATACATCGTGACACACCGCTCAAGCCAATGGACAGCGCCATCTTTTGGCTGGAGTTTGTCATGAGGCATAAGGGTGCGGCGCATTTACGCACAGAGTCCTACAAGCTTCCTTGGTATTCCTACTACTGTGTGGATGTGATCATGCTGATAGCAAGTTTGTTTACAGCAGTCTGTCTGCTCTTGGTCTTAATGTGCAGGGCTTTGCTGAAAGTTTTCGTCAGGAAAAGGAAAGCCAAAAAAGAGTGAAGATCTCCTTTTTTAGGCTGATATCATTAATGTTGCTCTATGTAATTTCTGCACTACTTCCAATGGGTCATGGTTTGGTTCGTTTGCATGGGCTTGTTGGCTGTAGATGCTGTAACTAAACCATTTGTCTGAGAAACTAAATTCTTTCTCAATTCATAATTTTGCAAGCAACATTTAAATGACAAAATTATTAATATATGAAAGTAGATGTTTGATGGCCACTTGTGGAAAGGCTTTTAAAATTGTGAAATGGAAATTTTTCCATTTCTTCTGCCTTTCACAGCAAAGTTTAGTCACTAGAGAAGACTAGTGAGCGCTTTTATGTTCAGCATTGACCAATCACGTATTTAGATTCAGATGATTGGCTCAAAAAATGGCAAAACTAAGCATAAGCAATGAGTATGAATGCTAACTTTTTATATTCCTACAGAATTGCAGTTTCTTAATGGCTCTTCCAAACCCACCCTTCAAGTAATCTTAAAAAAAATATAGAAGGTAGTACTGCCCTAAATTTTAGTTTGAGACAATGTTGCTTGGTCAGGCAGTTCAAACAGAGCAATTCTTTTCGGGAAATTTTACTTTGAATGGCTGAATTGAAATTTCAGCATCAATTAATGTGTCACTAACAGTATATTTGAATGTTTTTAAAAATGAACTGCAACAGATAGCGTTTTTTAATTTGTTTTATTGATTTGTACAGACATTGAATGAACCAGCTGTCTATTTTGCACGTAAATATTTCACTTAACACAACCACCGGCATGGTCAACAAAAAAATAAAATTATTCAAAAATCAGAGTCATAATGTGACAGATGGCCGATGCTCCTACATTTTGGAATGGTGTATTACTATATATGGTTACAATTGGTGAAATACTTTAGAGTAAAAAATAAAGTGCTCCGTCTTCATCTGTTCTACTGTGTCACTTTGAGAATACTCTCATCTCACCTCTCCAAAATGTAGCAATCCCATTTCTTTCTATGAAAAACAAAGTGTAAAAAAGGTTAGAAATGTCTAGATATTTCAAATCTACAGACCACAGCTCAATTGTCACTGTGTGATATTTAAGGGGATCAATGTCATATACATGCAAGATATAAAGACAAACACTTGAACACAATCAATAGAACATGTAACCTATATAATAGATACCAGTCTGTAACTTTGTTTAGTTCCATTAGGAAAACATTACAAAATGCTTTTCTTCCCTCTGTAATAATAATAATAATAATAGCAGTAATTGATCCACAGCTAACTTTTCTTAACATCTGTTCCACTCACCAATTTTCCTTTCAATATTTCAACAGTTTCATTATATCTTAACAGATTGAGGATGAGAGAATGAAAAAGAGAGTTTAAAGAGAATGAATGTCTGGGAACAGCTTTGGTATTTTAAAAGTATAGCAAAAACATCTCAAGTCAGTCAAATTACACATCTTCCTGCAATTGCATGTTGCTCAGGCATTTTTGTTTCACTTCAGTCATGTAAAAACAGCTTCAGGTTGGCACATTTTGTGTCATCTTTCAAGACTTGTTGGACAGAAGTTACAGCTGATTACTTCAACACAGAAACCCTGGCACAGTTGCTTGAATTCAAATGGTGGAATTGGAAATTATAAATAAAGCATGTTAAAAAACTATATAGTAAGATTCATGTGAGGTCACATTTTAAACTAGCGATAACAGTCCAAATCGTTTTTCACTAGAACTATCAAAACTACCTTTTTTTTTGATTAAATAAAAGCAGCCAATTTGTTCCTTTGTGAAAACAAAAGCTACAGCCTTAATCAAACACTGCTGTCGAATGCATTCAAACTTTACAAAGGCATATCTCTGTATTATACTGATGCAAAAAAAAAAAAAAAAAAAAAAAAAAAAACTCTTTGCCCAGAAATTCAAACAAAAGCAAATAATGAAGATTAATTGTAATGCTATGTTTTGGGCCAAACATGGATATTAATAGGCCTAGAGATTCCAAAAGTCTAAATCGCTTTGGAAAATTCTGGGCAAAGAGCATCTATTAAGTTGTGAATTCAAACAAGAGCGAACATTTGCCAACATTACTGTGTTTTTTCCATAAACAAAAGAAAATTACAGGGGCATGCATCAAAACACAAGCTGCAACAAAGCATATCATAAACCATTCTGAGCACCAATTCTCCATGCTCCAGAATCTTCAGATGTTGGACTACGCCCTCTTGTGAATTTACCTAAAACTAACCCAATTGTGCAATAACGTCAATGATAAAACAGAAACAGAGAATTTTTCCTTTTTAAAGTAGTCATAGTTTTTAAGTGAAGTGCAATGTTAGAGTGTGCCATGAAGATTTTGTGTGATTTCTCATATAGATTCCGCTTGGGATTTTGTAATGAAAAGACTAAAAATGCAAATTCACATCCAGACTGATTTGTACATGGATGGTTAGACAACATTGACAGTGGAATTATTTCATAAAGAGTTGAAGCAATGTGATGTTTTAAAGGCAAATCAGTCAATCAAACCTTTTGCGACCTATCCTTTTTGTTGAGGCGAACATATTTCATTTAACCAGGAGAATTTCACTAAGAGCAAATGGTTGTGCAACAAAACTTGATGGAAATATAGCAAAAATAACCTAATTCACAAAAGCCTAAAAACAAAAGCATTAGTGTCAAATATGCAGGAATAAAGACAAAAGAAACTAAATGCCTTCTTTGTCCAAACCTTTTCCCCGTCATCTTTTATTTCCACAACTTGAGATACTCAAAATAAAATAGAAATAACGCAACTTTCCAGAACACTTTTAACACCTCTTTTCATCCATATTGGCTAAAGATGCAAATCCCGGCCTCTAGTAGAGTATCTTTCTTTCAAGAGTCAATTCCTCTCTGTTTACATTCCTCACTCTTCCTTTCCCATGTATACCTTCTCATTAGTGTCCAATCTCTGCTCATCTGGGTCTCTCTGAATTTCCTCCACTTACCGAGTCACTCCCACAACTAGGACAATGGACCCTCCCTGCTTCCCGTGCCCGCACCGGCACCACTTGCCACCAGGTTCCTCAGCAGCTTCCTCCTGCCAGCCTGGTAATCTTCCTCATCTACATTCACCAGGAGCTTAATGGCCTCGTGACCCACTGCCTGCTTCAGAGAGTCCGTGATGAAAACGCCCTTCAGGGCTTCCAATAGTGAACCGTTGATGTAGTCCCGCCAAAAGGCGTCCAGGTAGGTCAGCTCTGAGAACTTGATGTCACATATGATGGAACCCAGGTCACGGGATTTGAGGATGGTGTTGGCCTGGTTAAAACGCTCAAACTGCCTCTCCAGAACCTCTTGCTTGTTGGAGAAGACATTGCCTTGTAGAGCTGACTCGTGCTGACAGTACTCCGCACGCACCCTCAGTCTTATGTCTGCAAGAGAAGGATGATTAGTTAAAAAGATAGCTTTTACTGTATACCCACCTAAAAAAAAAACTAAAATCTGTGCTCAAACACTCAAAGGAATATCATACATACCCAAAAATGGCTGAAATGATCAGATTCAATCTGATTGTCTGGCTTCAAAGCAACTTTCAAAAGGTTGCCAAGAGATGAGATTTTGCATGAGATTTAATATACATGTATCAAAAGTCGAGTTTGGGGGGAGTGTCGCCAAGTGGCCAGATTCGAACATGTCGTATTGCTTAAAGGCCAAGGGTGCGTAGGGTGCGTGCAGTAGGTACGGCGTAGCATACGCACAGACGCGTCCCATACCGCATACCTTTCGCTGTAGCCTGACGCGCACATCCTCAAAAATGTAACTGCACGTCGCGATGACGCGGACCGCAAGATCGGTGATTGGTCGGCTTGGTAGCATCGCATTTCCTCCTACGCATTTCCGCATGTACCTTCTCACGCATTTCCGCGTGCACCAACTCCTCCAACGTCTTCTCTCATTTCTGCCTTTCAGTTTTAGTAATTTCACTAAAATTAACTGTTTTTCCACCTCAATAAGCTCCAACTCCAACATGATCCGCTCCCTTTCAGTCGCCATTGCTTGCAGTAACCTAGCCCCGAGGAATCTAAACACAGTGGAACATTAAAACCCTCCGCTGCCAACTAGCGTTTCGGAGAAGTACTGCAGAGCAACCAAGAACTGAACGCAGAAGAATAAATTGGCCTTAAGTATGTAGATATGTTACAATTTCTTTTGTTATGGGTGAAATGGTGTTGTTATGATTGTACAAATATCTTATTCCACAGAGTCAAAATTTCTTGTTCTGCATAAAAAAAACATTGCCACCACCATGTCAACCAGCATGCAACTTTTTTTTGTACTAGAGCAGATTTGTTTTCTTACCACAGGTCTGTTTTTCCCTACAGTCCGCTGTTGTGTGAGATCTTTTCCTTTTCCTGGTCGGTGGAGGTGGGGTGGGTTTAGCACGTGGTGGGCATACCTGGGGTCCTGATGGAGGACAGCAGATCAACGGCTGGGGTCCTGAGAAACAGAACATGATCAAAATCAGTACCACAATGCCTGTCTTGTAATACATGCATTTACACTGATCACGATTAGGTTAGGGAGAAATAAATAAATTGAAGATTTGGATGATTTCCAGTTGATAAACAGAAAAAAAAATAGTGTTAAAAATGCTGTTAAGGCTGGAATACACTACACAGCTTTTGCCCCAATTTGCAGTCCAGACAAGTTGGTGCTAGTTTGGCCATTTATGTGTTGTACTCCACAAATGCACAATATCAGATGTCTTCAACCCCGCTCCTGGGGATCCACGGCACAAAATGAATGGCAGGCAAAAACCACCTTAAAAGTTCTGATTGGTTAATTAAATAATTAGACCATTATTTAGTGCATGATTGTTTCAGTTTACAGAGTGACGGGTGTGTGATACAGGTGTGATTAAAAACAAGTGATGCACAGACATTTTTGTAACAAAAAACCTAGCAGCACCAAAGTCATGGAGAAGCAAATAAAAAATTAAACATGCTAGTCTTTCTGACAGGACAATGTGAAGCACCGCAGACGCAGCGTCGGTTGTTTATGACACACTATACAAGATCAAATTATTGATTCTTGGGTCAGAATGTGCATTGGCATTTACGAATCACCACAACACCCCTCGTCAAACAGACTTTTCCGAAATCAGGCTGATTTCAAGTATAGTCTGAATCCGGCATAAGTCTGAGAGTGTATTTCAAACTCAAAACGTGGATAAGCTCCAACAGATAAACATGTCAGCTGTGTGGATGCTAGGGCTGAGTTAACAAAATCAATTTCTCTTTTTTAATCAAACTTGAGTTTGATTAACCAAAAATGTTTAATCTATGCTGTTTTAAGTTGGTGATTGAACAAAACTGTACTAAATATTATTTATAGTGTGCCTAGCATCTAAAAATTGCAATAAGCTTTGTTTTGCTACTTTTAGTATATGGAAAAAGTCTGAGCTTTCAAATTTGGTACATTTTATAACCAAACTCACACAAAAAATGTGACTTTGGCACTCTTTAAACTCTTCCTTTTTACTACTAGTTACAGCATAAAGATGCTGAACAAACAGGCTTTCAATACAGACGAAATAAAGATGAATTGACATCAAAAGGTATGTTGAAAGAAACAGTACAACTTACTGAAATATATCATATCATCACTCAACCAGTTGACTAGTTTCAACTATGGAAAAAAATATGTTCCATAAGTTAAATATGTTATTTGAGTGTTATTATTACATTTAATTTAATGAATTAACTGATTATTGCATAAAATGTAATAAATGTTTTCTGTGTATCGAAAGAATAAAAAAACAATTCATAAATACCAAAAATGTTACAGCCCTAGCAAAAAGTCTAAAGCTCAACCAAAGGAGGACACACCTGTTCTTCTGTGAGTAGTTCCCTGCTGGGCCTCTCCTGCTCCTCTGGGAGAAACATAACGGACTGACGTCTCCTCAAGATATTTATCTACTGGATCTGGGCACACTGGAAAATAATAAAAGAAGACAATAATCTGCTGTCATAAGCGGTGGATGAACTAGCGACCAAAATGAGGGTGAAAGTGACAAGATCTCAAACCTGTCTGTCTCTTGCGCAACGTGACGTACGGCAGCAGGTCATGGCGAGTGATGATGCGGAGAAGCTGAAGAACGTGCCTGAAGTTTGTTTCATCACATCGCCCCTGACGCTCCAATGCGAGCAGGAAATCCCGGCCGCTTCGTATCCCTCCTCTCTCGTACTCGTCAATAACGTCCACAAAAAGGAAGGACAGCACCCGCACATCACGGTGCGTCAGCTGAGCACCCACAATATCAAACATGCGGTGAAGGGAGTAAAGCCCATAGGCATCGTCCACAGACTCCTCTGGCCACGGCTCCACCCGGCCAGACGCAGGTCTCCGAGACGAGGAGGAATTACTGCAGGACGCCGGAGCCAGGCGGCTTAGAGAGAGCGCAAGGGAGTTACCGTGAGTTGTTGCGGATGAAGATGCCGCAACCCAGCCTCTCCGTGGAGAGGAGAGCCCGGAGCGGGAATACGAGTCTATCGGAGAACGAGAAATGTGTTGCCTGCCCTGACTAGATGAAGAGTTCTGTGGCAAAAGGAGGGCAGGGTTGGCATTCCCATGCTGCTGTGAGGTCATCACTCTTCACTCGGCAGATGACGGGTGTGGGGGATGACGGAAGGCCCTGTCAGGAGTGTGAAGCAGCTTGAAATCTGTCAACACGCTCGGCCCACGACTCTCACCTCCAGCTTCGCTCTAGAAGAGAACAGAATTCATAGCATTAAGTCACTGACTCCACTACAGCATTTTAGAGTCGTATGACATAATAAATAATACATTAATAAGGATGATAAACAGACTAGGACAAATTATCACAAGACCTGGGGGAATTTTACATATATGTAAACAGATCTATTGCTCAACTGTGTATCTAGACTGCCATTGCTCAATCATGCAACACATAAAAATCATACAGATCATATGTTTGCACATCACATCTACATAAAAAAGCATACAAATGATATAGTCTGATCAAATCTGAATTGAAACATACAGATAATATACTCTGATCTACATAAAATGTTATGATTTTACACTCTGATATCACTACTACATATAAAATCAAACATTGAAAAATGATTCTGATTTCACATCTACAAACAAAAACATGAGGATCACATTTTCTCATATCACATCTACATATAAAAACACAGATTACTGGTCTATATTCTAATATCATATCTGCATTTAAAACCATACATAATATATACTTTGATATGACAAATACATTGCTTCAATTTAAGAACCTATATGACTATAACTTCTGTAGCAAACTTGAATTTTAAGCCTGTTTGTTCAGTTTTGATCTACAACGTATAATGTTGGTAGAGGCCAGGGACAGTTAAGTCACTGACCTGGTTAGCTTATACATTAACGTCTAACAGGTTTACTAAGGATGCATATAATGATAGTGCTGGATGTATTAAACATCTCACTTCCATATCATGGTTTTAAAAAACTAACATAATGCTCTTTTCAAGACAAGACACTCTAGTAAAAAGATTTATGAATAAGCAGTTAGACATCAACAATCCCCTGAAATGTATCAGGACAGCTGTGTTAGCCTGCTTAGCATTTACACAAGGAGGGGCTGTAGAACACAATGATATGTTAAGATTTTATACATTTTGTATGTTAACATTTAATTGCGATCTCTTCTATATTCCTAAAGATACTTAAACGTTATCTGCTATTGATATAAACTTCGCTTAGCAACTGACTGCTGGCTTGCTAACGTCAACAGCGTGTAGCAACACTGAATGTATACAACTGTCTTACCTGTTTAATTTCATGAATCACTTTACAGACACGGTGACTACGGACGCGGACTCTGCTCAAAAGTGCGGTCTGGTCCTCATACATGTACAATAATCGTGTGTGGGGATAATTTAAACGGTTTGGTGAAGCTTGGTAATGAGCCCATTTTTTGTTCCTCTGCTAAAATGTAGGTACATCCGGGACATGAGCAAGCGTGGGGCAACATCCGGGAATGTAGGAAACGCTTCGTCTTTATCAAACAGACAATAAACTCTCGTGATGTGCTTTTTTTGCATTGCTGTTACGAATAAATCTACAAGAAAAACGTTAATCAGAACAGGTCTTTGTATGGAATATAAATATTTATTTTTTTAAAACATGAGAAACACAGCACTGCATAGCCCCTTTACATTATGAAAGATCACCATGGTAACCACATTTTCATCCAAAATACAATTAGCTCACTAGTTATTTTTCCTACTGTAAAATCTTAACAAATAAAAATAAGTATATCTTCAAACCCAACAAGCTGTTGTAATCTTGCCATTTTTGTTTATACCTTTTTTTTTTTATCAATTCTGGCTGATATAAAGTCAATGAATTCAAAATAGATTTGTTCCCAATAGAAAATTATCAAATAGTCTACTCAAAACAGGTTCGGCAGCTGACTAAGTAGCAAATCAATATAACCTAGGTAACGTTAGCTGTGGCGTAATTTAAAGCTGAGCAGCTAACGATTTTTGCTTTCGAGCATTATTACCTCCCTGTAATGCTCTGGAAAGATTAGTTTTTATTAATTAGTAGTAATTCCAAAAAACAAAACAAAAACAAACGGTAACAATGTGCTAACATTAGGGAAATGTTCTGTGTATGCTGGGCATTAATAGGGATGAGCCATTAGATAATTCCCAGACTTTCTATTTTAACTGGCAGTGTCAGCAGCAAAATAAATAAATCTGCACTTGTTAAGCAATTCCATGGGATTTAAACATTTTTTTTATAACTGTGGTGTTATCTATGGTAAATATTAGTAATGGTAAGTGCCATTTTAGTTAGAAATGTGAAGAACAAAAAAAAAAGGAAAAAACCCTTCTAAGCTAAATTGATTATCAGGCATAACAGGACCTGACCTGACCACCTAAAACCGTTTTTAAACCAGCCAACAGAACAGTCTGACCAGGCTAGGAGACCAAATACATTGAAGATTGAAGAACCCTTTCCATTGACATTAACTAGGAATATTTTAAAACTGGTTTAATGCCAAGAATGAGGGGAAAATATCCTTAGTGAAACTCAACCCTAGGGCTCCAGACATTTTGCGACCAAAATTTGAGACATGTGCAACCAGTAAATTTATTTTTACATGTTAAACATGGAAGGGACGCGTGAATTAAATGAATCCGCAATGAGTGGCAGGCCGTGACGAGAATTGGAAATGGCCACTGTAAATGGCTAATATGCACATAAAGCTCTGTTATATCAGATCAAACAGCACTGAAGTGAGCGCTGAAACCAGGAGAAACACTTATAGAAGGCGTATAGTCCACAAATAAGCAACATTCACTGTGGATTTAGGCTGATGTAGTAACTCTAACCATAAATATGGTATTGTGACAAAAATAGTCAAACGCTTACTAGGTCTAGGTAAGTACTAGGACTACATATTTTTCCAGCACATCAAAACTATAATATCATATATAAATGTTATTTTTAATGTGATGACCAACACATTTTTTGTTCATCCTTCAAAGATTGTCTAAAAACGAAGAATGTCAAGATGTAGGAAAACTCTTATTTAAACAGTAGGATGTTTGTTGGCTATTTTCACTCCTTAATATAAAAAATGTCACTCCTTTTGCCTTTTAATTAATATTAAGACATTATGAATGATAATAACTAAAGTTAATTTCATCTACACCCTAAATTAAGCTTAGTGCTATATTGTCAGCCCCAGTGCCACCAGATCTTTTTTGTCGAACTCTCGGTGATGCTGCCCTAAAATTTTAGTCTGCAGCCCTGTGAACTTAAAATAAAGCTGCATATTCTAATATCAGCACGTTAAGTCTATTTATTATTAAATAATTTGTCAGTATTATATTTATTTGGGGGGAAATTTGAATAATTGCATTGCAAGCTAATTTAAGATGTGCCCCAAACTTTTCTGCTTGCGCTCCTAAAATTTTCAGTCAGGGGCTACAGCGTTCCCAGTAGAAAAAGTTAGTCTGGTGCCCGGTAATGTGAACGTTGGCATTGATAATTCAGTATTCGATGGCACAAGCGTAGACGGCACAAGGCTGCTAAATTGTTCAGTAGCCTCCTCACATTCCTTGTTTTTGGACTTCCCTGGGATCTGTTAAAACAAAGGAACCAATATAAACTTATGTCAGAGTAACATGATCTTTATGATATACTGTTAAACTTGATATAAACAAACTCACCTGATTGCACATAGCTTTTCCAGAGCGGACAAATGTGGCAAAGTGCTCACAATTAAATGTGAGGATTTTGTAAGTAAACTCCTGGTCAAGTAAAGCATCTCGTCGCCGTCTAATTTCATCCTCAGGTGAAGGCTGGAGATCGTGTTGGTTATTGTTCACCAAAACACGAGCGCCTTTAGGTACGTTGACTTCAGACAGGAGCTGACGCCGTATCTTGGTTTCTCCAAGCAAAAGATCACCACAAACAGGGAAGACAGTCTGCAGAAAACCCCGAAACGAACTCATCACCTGAGTTTCATCTGGTATGAAAAAAGCAAGTTCTGTATGAGACAAAGTGTTGCCATAACAGTGATCAAGAATAGAAGAAATAAGAAATCAATAATGGGAGTAATAATTGGAAACATTTTCATAATAATATCTATTTCATAGGAATATTGGTATATAATTTCACTCCCCATTCACTTGTGTCTCCCAAAATGCCAGAAAAACATGATTTAATCCCTGGTGTCCACTGGACATGTATGAAATCAATATGCCGTCTTTTGTAACAGAAACCTCATACCATTTTCCTGAGATGTTGATTTATGACAAACAATTTTAAAATTAGTCAGACTTAAATGATAATTACAAAACATTATCATATTTCAATAAGAGTACTAATTTGATCACTAAATTATTGTCAGTCTTTTTAAAAGACCAAGGAGAAGTTGTTGTCATTGTAAAACCCCAAACATTTGGTATCTCTGAAAAGCCATGAATGTGCTCTTTACAGGACTCAGAGATTGTTCACCCAAAAATAAAAATCATAATTTACTCATCCTCATGCTGTTCCAAACCTGTATGAGTTTCTTTCTTCTTGTTGAACACAAAAGAAGATATTGTAGCCCTCAAACCGTATTCACTTTATAGCCCTTAATCCTGTAACTGTGGACAAATGTGGGCACAGAGGACTCAGGTGTGATACTAATTTGTATTTATTATAAATGTTATATCAATATCTTTGATAAAGTTTTGTCTATCCATTTATGTTGTTTTCTTTTATTTTGGTGGTATTTTTTGAATTTATTTAACTTCAAAAAGTACCATATTTTCTATTTTTTTTATTAATTTTTTAAACTACAATAAATTATCATTCCAATAAGTTCTTAGAGCTAAAACCTAAAGATGAAGTGACTTTGCTGTCACCTGGTGTCTTATTTTGGCTTATTTTAGAATGTTATAAATTAGTTTTTCCCATTCATTTCTATGGGTGCCCATTTTTGACCCAAATACAAGATTAGGGAGTTTATTTTTATTTTTTCACCCACTTAACATTGTAAAATTGAGTCAAAAATATTGTGTGTGTTCAGGAGACAAACTTAGGAAAAGTAGCCAAATCTTGTACCGCTCAGATCAAGGGAAGTATTTTTTTTTTTTTAAGTCAAAACTATTTTGCCCACATTTGTTCAGAATACAGTTTTAGGGTTAAAGAAAGTTTGTAAACAAACATTGGCAGTACCCATTGACATCCAAAAATATGGATGTCAATGTGTGCCGTCAGCAATCTGATTAACAACATTCTTTAAAAGATCTTCTTTTGTGTTTAACAGAAGAGTGAAACCCATACAGGTTTGGAACAACTTGAGGGTGAGAAAGTAATGACACATTTTAAAATTTTGGGTGAACGATCCCTTTAAAACTTTAGCATGTATGGTGTCCGAAATTCACTCAAATATAATGTCCACAGTGGACAAAAGTCTATTCCTGGAAGGATATCAGGTGACATTTGAACCTGTGTAGCAGTGTAGGAGTTAGCCTATAAGATTCTTATATTTTCTTTAGTCTTCTCAGACTAATTTCAGACACATAAATGTATAGCTAGGCCTAGTATAGTATAGTATATAGTATATTATAGTATAGTATAGTATAGTATAGTATAGTATAGTATAGTATAGTATAGTATAGACTGTATTTAATACTAATATCAATTTTTATAGAATCATTGCGCTTACCTGCAACCGCAAAGTGAATGACGTATCCATCTCCGTCATAAACGCCCCAGTGTGAGTAGCCAATGGGGTACGAGAACTCGATCAAATCTCCGAATTGCGCGCTGGATACAACTTGCTCAACCTGTGCATGACAGTTTCAATCTGTCAAGATTTCTCCCGCTAATGTTACAGGTTTTAGAACAAGTTTGACAACATATGACGTCTGCATTCTTTTGATGATTATAATCATACTAATCGCAATAGTGTCAAAAGATTAAAGTAAAATAATTCCTATTTCTTCACAACGCATCTGGTGCTTTGCGTTCGCACCGGAAGAACCTTTTCATAGTTCCTATAGAATTAATAGTTTCCACTTTTTGGCGTGCTTGCACCGCAGGAACTGGGAACGTATTAAGTTAGGAACGCCTTTTGGGGAACTAATGGCTAGTTCCTATAAATTACTACCTGGTGTGAAAGTCCTATTGTTGAAGAACGGTCTTAAAGCTACTTTCACATTAAATTCTAGCGGTAGTTACATATGAGAAAAAGTAACCTAATGATCCTCAGCTGATTCCAAATTTAATACATAACGTTATTTCAATAATAAATATTTAAATATTTTAAACAATTCTGGATAGAACAGGATCAGCATTCTTAACATGTCTAATTAATTTAGTCTGCGTGACAAAATAATAGTTAAAAATTGTATTAGTTTCTAGGCTTATTTTGAAACATGAATCATTATTATCCACGTATTGAGTTAATTCAGTAAAAAATTGTAAACGTACCTGTTCTTTGTAGTCC